CATCTTAATAAGTCGCATTTTATTTGGTTGTAATGTCTGTTGTGCCAATCAGATATCCTTACTTCCTTACTAATAATACTAATATTAATACTCATCCTTACTAATATTATAAACACGAAAGTTTGTATGTATGGATGGAAATTTCTTACTCTTTCACGCAAATACTCCTGAATGGATTTTAATGAAACTACAATAATATACCTTACAGGTACATCAGAATAAGACATAGTAGGCTATAATTTATATACATATTTTTATGTATATCTGTCTTTCTGCCTGAATTTTACGCCTTCAGCCTATTCTACACAAACGTAGTCGCGGGCAGCAGCTAGTATAACATAAAGACTACCTTTTTTTACTCCCAGTCATATTTATGTTAAGACCGGCTTTTACTCGAGGCTTCACTAGTGTTGAAGCCCTTAAATAAATAATTGTATTTAATTTTTTGTAATAATTAAAACAAATACCTCTAAGAATATGTGTACAAAGTTTCATGATAATCGGTTGAGTACTTTTGGCGTGAAGGCGTAACAAACAAATTACATTCACATCTGTATTACTGAATAGGCTGAAGGCGTAAGATTCAGACAGAAAGACAGATATACATGAAATATGTATATAAATTATAGCCTCTGCCTTAGGCTGATATAAAATCTAATTATTGTAAAGTTTCATTAAAATCCATTCAGTTAGTGTTTGCGTGAAAGAGTTACAAATATCCATCCATACATACAAACTTTCGCGTTCATAATATTAGTAAGGATTAGTAGGCATATGAAACATAAGATGGTGAAATCTATTGAAGCGTCTGTATTATAATCGCAAGAAGATTGGATGGAAACTTTTTGTTGAAGTTGAATGTACCACATTACGGTGTAAGGTCACGGCGAAGCACACCAGTAGGTCGACTCCTTTCGGTTTGTGGGAGTCTTACGTGGATCAATTGTGCTCTCGGGCAATCCCAGGGCTATAGCAGCAAGAACATTCTTGTTATCTAGTCGGGGTCAGCCGATAGTATGACGCTCCTGACGACACAAATAAGCGTAAAATTATAAGAAAAGACGTGTCTTTGATTGGGAAAAGAATTATTTATTGGATATTATTGATTCGATTATTGCACATTACGAATGAAACCATTTGTCTATTATTAGTCTTTTATATTTAAAAAGCAAGAAAACGACATGGTATCCGTGAAATATTTGTATATGCAATGAGGAAATAAAAATTGTAAATTGTAGAAAAAAAATAAGAATAACTGGGATGAAAGTCTTTTTTTGGAGTGCGCTAAATGGGCAAAGAATGATAATTTCAATTCAGATCAATGTCGGTAATCACTACATAATATAAAGTAAAATCGTCCTGCTGTCTGTCCGTCCCTATACATATGCTTAGATCTTTAAAACTACGCAACGGATTTTGATGCGGTTTTCTTTAATAGATAGAGTGATTCAAGGGGAAGGTTTATACGTACAATACAGTAGAGAAACACTGATATAATTTTAGAGGTTTCTAATGCGATGTCGAAAACAAACATTCAGCATTGCACCCGTGCGAAGTCGGAGCGGGACACTAGTATTTCATACAGTAAGTCTCTACTAACTTTTAAACTTCAACATTAAAATTACCTAATCATAACTTCATTTAGAGGAAAATTTTTCATAAATCTTGTTGTTTTCTTTTCTTACTAATTAGTATTCTGTATTATGTATTATATTTCTTGTATATATGTCTAAAACACAGATTACATTTAGGAGGCTTTAATTGATAATAACTGTTACTAAAACTAGTCAGATATGCAGATTCAATATCATATCATTCAATATCATTCAATTATTACACAAATTAAAAATAACGACCCAAATTGCTTCCTACTCCGAGTTCATTTTGTAAACAGCATGTATTATAAATGGCATCATGATTGTATTAAACATATCGTAACAAATTGGAAATAAAGTAACAAACAAACGTATTCAGATTTGATTAATATATTTTGTACTATTACAATGGGCCATTAGTCAAAACTTTTCTATTTTTAAATATATAATGTCCACCGAACCTTTATATCTCAGTGGCATACATCTTTCGCATTCACCAGTAAACTGTATTATTTAACTACGAAACCAACTTTCCTAAATATTTATCTAAATAAAGCCTTGACTCAAAAATGATGTTAGTGTCACAAGTTAAAATTGTCAAAGAGACTCTAATATTTTTGCCCCACATTCATTTCCGTGAAGACTATGGAGTGGTTCTTATAAGTAAAACTTAAATTCAACTCAGTGTTCCATACTTCATTAAAACTCTTAACCGATTTCGAAGTCTCGATAATTATAATTCTCACATGCATTGGTGAGTTATAGTTTCTTATTACTTTCGTAAATCGAAAAAAGGAAAATCGAACATTTGTAGAATTTACTTGTTTCGTTTATGAATACCTTTTTTTATTCCTATTTCTTGGATATATGATAAAGCAGAAGTCATTTTGACGTCAATATTTGGAATAAAAACATCCCAAATATTTAAGTTATTAAACATTTATCAGAATAATTATTAATATTCGTTAAAAAAATAAAACATCTGAGCAGCGACTGAGTTTTAAACAAAGATTTCACCTTGGAACACAATATCGCCTCATTGTTTAAGATCGCTTCTCTCGATATAAAAACACAGCAAAAATTAAAGTGCAGTCATTGTTTGTTTTGGAAACAACGTGCCAGTGATAAATATTCAAACCTTTTTTTTTCTTCTTGACGCCACCTAATATTATTATACTACTTTGGATGTTTTGAAATGACTTATTAATTCATTGGACTAATAAAAGAATAAACAACAAAACCTTGTGATTTTTGTTGTCTAAAATTCATACAAAGAAAATGCTATTTCATATTTACTGATATTATTCAAACAATATAATCACAGCTAAACATCTTGTTTCAAGCACATTACGGTTTTAATGAAATTTGGCTAAAGATATTCTTAGTATTATTTCAGTAAAGTCTCAAAATACCAATATATGAACCTTGATGTACACTGTAAAAATGTTGTGGTGAATAAGCCGATTTCGGCGATGAAATCGACTTTTTAATGAAAATATTCTCAGATAAAGACATAAATAGTGATAAAGAACTGGAATATGTAAGGCTAATAATATTCATAAAACTCAAGAAAGTTATAAGCAATCATTCTGCTTTACGAATCAATGCAATCTGTACCACTTTTTCAAATGCATCAAAATGTTAGACAAAAACTCTAGTAATGCAACACTCAAACAAAACAATTCTTGTGTTTAAGCACCTATGAGTTATTACACTGCGGATGTATTCAAGGAAAACGTGGTTATAAAGATGGGAAATCTAAAACCGCAATTAAAAGAGCGTTATACGTTCGTATATGTAGATAATTTAGCAGTGCTTAGATCGCCAAGGGATTTATTTCTGATAATATTTTATAAAATTAATTGCCGCCCCGTTAGATACGTATTATACGTGTCTATGTGAATCCTTTTTACTAAGGAATCGACTCGAAAAGTAACGCCCGGTTTCTGAAACACTGTTCTTTGAATTGATCATTCTGATCATTAAGAAGATCATTTGATCAATTCAGACAGTTTAACAATCCCTTTGGCTACTCAAATAACATTTGAAAATACATTTGACAGCTGATTAGTTGACTTCTACGATAATTAGTGTTTAAGAAACAGAGCTTAAGTGTAGCGTTCTTTAAATTGTTGACGTCTCGTTTTACGAAGTTGCACAGCTATTGGCAGCGCTTCAACGAGTCGTGGGTTCGTGGGAATCGAAATGTGTAAATATTTATGTGAGGTATAAGAAAACAAACATAAAGTATTTTTAAGAAATAAGTATGTGACCCTGATGAATGGTACAACTTTGTTACAAAAGTGGATGCGGTTACATGCAAAAGAAGAATGTTTACGCGTTTAATGCCGAACAAACAGTTGTTTAGCGTGCCGACTCTACGGTATTTTAGTCTCTAAAAGTGGTCCAGTTTTCACCGCGTACGCTATAAATGCGAAATGTAAGTTCGAGGTGAGTTCAGTTTAACGTGTTTTTAAGCCCATCCGTGATACAGCGTGATATTTTATTATTGTTGATTTAATATAAACAATGAAGGCCGTTAGACTCTTCTTGTTGGAGGTATTGCTTTTTATTCTCGTAAATAATATGTATATTTAATAGTGATGTGTACACAAGAGTCACTAATATGTATTATGACAAATAATTTCCGCATATAAATTATAGCTCTGTGCATTACTACTGTTTATATTACCAACCCAAGCTGAATCATACCAGCAAACATCTAGAACCTCGTATTGAAACGTTCACCTGTGCAAGCCTCAAACATTTTTCCTCAATCTGGCAAGAAAAGACGTTATTAAACATCAGTTCAGAGAATAAGTAATTTCAACCGTGCTAAAACTATGCTAATTTAGCGAGACATAATTTACGCAGAATTGGGACTTCCCTGCAGAGTACCGGTGTAATGTCTTATATCTGCATGCCTAAAACCACTCCTTTAATTTTTAAGAAAAACAAAAGACGTACTATTGAGTTATTTGTCTTGTAGCAGGCTATTGATTTATAACCGGTAACTAGTTTGTTATTCTGAAGATAATAAACAACACCCGGTCTCGATACGTAAATTTTTTCAGGAGGTATCGTGACCATCTTTTTACGCACAATTTAAAATTTTTTTTAAACATTTTTTAAGTAGCAACATAAACTTGTTATTTACGGAATATAAGATAGATCATTAAAACTATTTATTATCGTATAAATGACGTATTATGACCGTAACATTGACGTATCGAGAGTAAAGGACATCCTCAAGCGCTTCGCGATAGAAGAAGTGCAATGACCTTTTTTATTACTTTTTAGCATATATTGGGTGTTTTAACGTTTGATAAATTGGTAACATTTTCCCTAAAACAAATCCTATTTATTTCGTTTTTCCAGATCCTTCTGCCGGTGATCATTTTTAACATGGTCGCGGCGTCGATTGAGAGTAACTTCATTCAAAGCAACCTTTCAGAAATCACTAGCGACTTAAACCAGTACAGGATAAACACCGAAGAGCGTTTTCAGAAAACGAACAGTCCCAGAATCTCAAGAAGCGCTTACGGAAAGGGCTGGTCTTCGAAGTCCTTCAACTATGGACCGTACAACGGTTTACCGCCCTACCTTGTGTATAACAGAAAACTGGGATCGTACTACCCATACTACCCCAAACAGTACAGCACCACAAACTCTAACATACGAAGGAACGCAATGAAGAAAATGTCGAACCAAAGGCAATGGAGTCATTAGTTTTAGAATCACTACGCTCATTAAATTGATTAACGATTATTAGCTATAATTAAATTTAAGCCTATGTATAAATTGAGAGAAGATATCTTTAAACTACTGTGTCTGAAATTAATAAGCAACCTGCTGTAAGGTTTACTGCTAAGATAGATAATAAATACTATTTAAATGTTTTTGTATTTAAAAGCCCATTTACAATGATTTAATTTAATTTGTCTTTTTATCTTTATCAGATTTGTTATTACCTTCTACCCTATATACCCAATATACAGTTTATTTAAATATGAAATATATACTACTATTGTCTGTTATCATGTACTCTACATACATGATGACAGAGCCATGCAGGGGTAGAATGGGCGGATTCGACCAGAAAAGTACCATCGTCACGTGATTCCGCGGTAAATCTTGAGTTTTTACATCTTTTGGTTATGAGTAAGGTAACCGTTGTTGGAAACCACCCTCTCAATATTAGGTAACGCATCAACATTACCTCATGTTGCGGCGTTTATAATTTACCATTGGGCGAGCTTCAACGTTAGCTATCTCACGTAAACTTTTTATTCCAAAGTTCCTCACCAAAAATAAAGCCACAGAGTGACTCGGCTAGTACCTATATTGAGACATACCTATATGCAATTTATTTTAAAATTCTATTTTAACTACTACTACTTTAAATTTACATTTTAAACAAAAGAATTTTGGTAGAAATAAAAGAATAATGTTGTCAAGTGCATTAAAACAAAACGATCAGAATATTAGACTATAAATCGTATAAATTTTCATTAAAAATGGTATATAACATTTTTTTGCTATAGAGGAGACCGTAGGAGATCGAACTTCACCCATCTGATAACCAGACGTGACATATTTTCTGTTTAGTGATGATTTTATTGATTTATAAACACGCTTTCTAATCTAAAATTGTTCATGGTTCTTTTTAATTAAATTTATTTTAATATCTTTTTTTCGTAACCAGATAGCTTTTAACATACAGAAAAAAGCAGGTATGAACAGGTAAATCAATACGATATATTAACAATAAAAATGGATATCAGAAAAAATATAGGTACTTTAATTATGAAAATAATCGTAAAGGCTTGCCTGCAAAAACCGATGATTAATTATTTCCATGCTTTGAAGTTTTGATATCGAAGCAATTAAATAATTTTGGAAAATGCGATATAGGGTGGTTACACAGTTAACCACCCTGTAGGACCATGCAACAGTGTACACTTTTACACGAATGGGCAGGTCTGCCCGGTTAGCACCACGACCTCACAGAAGACCTAAAGTAGAAGTGTTACACTTCTGCGTTTCGTCTGGTGAGTGAGGTAGCGGGACCCACTTTATTTAAAGATTGCAACGTATTTTATTTCCACAGGCGGCGGTTAGCACTTAACATCAGGTGAACCGCTAGCTCGTTTGCCACTTTCTCACATAAAAAAAAACTGTCCGCCTCCAAGCGGTGAGCGCCAACCAAGCCACACGCTTCCTCCGATGAGGGACGAGAAATTGGGGATAAGAACTTAGTCAGTCCATTGAAAAACTGATGCGACGGCATAAAGAGAGCTTGACCCAGCAAAAATATTAAAATCAATTTAATTAAAATAGTCATGAACAATTTTCGATTAGCAAGCTATCATAGGCGTGTTTGGAAATAGATAAAATTTCCTAAAAATTGTCTCATCTGGTTATTGGATCTGATCTACCTGTGCATCTACCTGTGTACTCTGTGTGTGTGTGTGTGTGTGTGTGTGTGTGTGTATGCCTGCGCAGGTAAATCGTAGCGTGTATGGCGTACATTAGACTATTAACAATGACACAAAACGTATAGAGTCATCGAAATTCATGTTTTATTACAAATGAGGAAAAGAGCTAAATTAAAACCAGTTCCATTTAATATCAGGTTGTGGCACGACAAAAATAAATTACAAATATTGATTATAATAATTTCATATCAATGTTATAACAGTTTCATTTCATAGCAATGTCACTTTTAGGTCTACTGGCCATTCCAAAAAATATAAGCAATAAAAATATAAAGCAACTTCCCCGTTACTTTAAGTAATAAAATAATTTTCATGTATTTTCTAATTTTGCAAAAACATTCACAGAAAAAAATAATTTCCCTACAATTATAATAGTCTACATAAAACTTTTGGGTGAGCCAAATTTAATCAACAACAACCATGCATTGCAACGTCTCGTAAAGACATAAGAGTTTTATAAACGCAAGAACTAAAAAAATCAGTTGATTAACTTTTTATTAATGGCTACCTTTAGTGTAACGTGTTGTGCAGATTATTTCTGCTGCAATTTCTGCCATTTACTGTAGAATGTTTAGATCCGGAGGTTCCCTCGAACAGGCTGGTTCTTGACTCGCACAAAGTTTAAGTACAACTAGTTCCTAGTTGAATAGTAATTCCTCTGCATTTACATAGAGAACAGCTAGTGTTCTTGGCACCATGCAGCGTGACCAAGGTTACACAAATTGTAATTTAGTTATTATTTAATATCGTAAACATATCAATGAACTTCATTTATATCTGAAAAAAATATGTTGAAGGTTAAAAATAATGGTCTTTTTCCTTAAAGTTTTCCGGGCAGTTCTTTAAAAATTGTATTAGAAATTGATTGTATCATTGTCACTTATTTTTCTATTTTTTCAATGTAATGGGGAAGTCCGGAAAAAAAATATACTGGATATATTTTATTTGCTACATAATGCATACTGCCGAATAAAAACTTTTTGAAAATTAAATGCCTGCGCTAAATGATTATCAGCATCAAATCTAGTCATCAATCATAATCCATGATTTTAGAAATAAATGTGCTGGCTAAATAATAACGTATAAAGTCTAGCTACATTCTATAAATTTTATATTCATTTATCGACCTCTCACTTGCCAGTTCGTCACGAGAACTGAAAAAAAAATACAAATGCATTCGCAAGATCCGGCCTTTCATAGCCCGGTTGCAACATCTCGTCTCCTGACATTGGCTTTGTACACTTCTCTTTTATTTAATGAAGCCATTCGATGAATGCAGTTAAAAAAAACTTTTATCAATACCTACACTTTCTCCCTTGTGTTTACATGTTACATAGTGTTAAAAACTGTCAATTTCAACTTGATAGGTAATTTCAACCTTTAGCCGCATTGTCCTTACTGAAAGGGCTGTATTCTGTTTCATTGTAGTAAGTTTTAGTTAGAACTCACAATGTTTGGGAGTTGAAATAAGCTACGAAAAATAACATGTACCCTGTAAGATAATGCCTGTAATTATAATATTACAACCTTCAGCTGCGCTTTGTTCTGATCATTTAGTAAATTGTGTTCTGAAAATTTGACGTGCTGTTTTGAGTCCGGGATAGCCAACTAGAACAACTAAATTGTTTTACTAACCAAAACCGAACTTAAAAGCGAAAAACAAATATCTCGCTCTGTATTCATTTTATAATTGATTTTCAGGAGTTCCCCATGTGTCTCCGGAGCCCAAGATCCAAAACTAATGAAATTGATATGGGATATAAGGGTATATATATATATATACCAGCATCCAAATTAAAAAGAATCATCAAAATCGGTACACTAAGTTGAAAGTTGTGAGGTAACAAACATAAAAAAAATACAGTCGAATTGAGAACCTCCTCCATTTTTGAAGGCGGTTGATAAAGTAACGTAATAGTGTTGAAGTAACATAATACTCTATCAAAGCCTCGCCCTTCTTCGTCGCAAATCCTTATAATATAAACAAATATTACGAAGAAAATTAGTGTTACGAAAAGGAGTGCAACTTTTCGTGTTTATACATCGCGAATATACATTGTTAAATGAAACTATTTTACGGCCAGTCTGTCCCGTGACCATAAACGCTGGAAAAAGTTGGAACTCTATTTTTCATGAAAGAATAATTGAAAATATTAAAAGAATCAAAGTTTAAGAGTGAATTTCACCATAGTCTATTTGTTTGTGATAACACACTCGTTTCAATACACTCACGCAAACCGATTCCAAATCCTGATGCCTGCACAAATTAATTTGGCAATTTTAAGCGGTGTCTTATCACGTGCTCACCGAGAAACATCTTTGGGAAACCTGTATATTTTTTTACAAAATATGTAACGTTAGTGAAGTAATAAATAATATATTATGTGAGGGTCTGTACAGGGGCGGCCTTTGCCCAGCAGTGAGACATATACTTTTAGGCTACTTAACAACTTTAGTTTTTAACATTACTTTATTTAATGTCTTTTTAAGTACTACCTGTAACAATAGAATAAATTATTTTTTATGAAATAAAACACTGGCGGTAGCCATCGGTTTCAAAAAGAACTAAAAAAGTCTTAATACAATTATTACAATTAAAAAAATCGACCTTCAAAATTATAAATAAGTTTCAATAGATCAATGAATAATTAACGAACCAGTTTCATTTTGTTTATGATATTACCATAACCTGCCTCGAAAACCCCGTCTGGCGACTTACTCATCTGCTTTTTGTTTAGTCACAAAGTTTGAATTTTGAAAAACTTATTTTAAATATAATTGCCAAAAGGCCCAGATGTATATACACATATATTAATATGCATTGGAAATTCCCGAATCACTGGAACTTTCAACTCTTAAGATAAATCATTAAAGATAATGCATATATCTATGTTGCAAACAGGGAGAATATTATCCCCGCAAAGACTTTATACATTAATTATTGTAATATGCTATATAATTTTTACTTATATATGGTATAAATTTGAAAATGTATAGAGCTAATTAGAGATAAATGACATGAGAGATAGTCACGACCATTAGCGATACGGTTCTCAAACGTCAAAACTAAATTAGTAATACCTATATTAGTTAGTCCGATCTCTGTATCGCCCGAAATTACACAATAACAATTTTGACACCAAAAATTATAAAAAGTGCCTATATTATAACTCAAAAAAATTAATTAATTCATTACATTATCAAGTTACCTATATATTAGTACATGAAGCAAAAACTTTGCCGAAACCCATTTTTTACGAAAATAGCGCAGACGGAGGAGTATGAAATTTCCCACACTTTAGTTTATATAGAGAAGGAGTGCAGAATGCTAATAATTTTCTTTAAAATTATTCATAAAAAAATTAAACTAATAATAAAAACATTGGGTGCACTACCATGTATATTTAATTATGGTAATAATTAATCCACCATAAAGTAACTATGGTGGTGGAATTTCGACCAATATGCGACCACAAGTTTATATTGTTCGGTATAAGAAACAGACCCAAAACTGATATCTTCAACTTAGGCATATTGTATTAATGACTGCAACATGGGTATTTTGACAAGAAAGAGATTAATAAATCGACACGGTATGAGACAGGGCACGCACGTCATTTTAAATAAGATTTTTCCTCTATAAAAGCCGTGGAATCTCAAGCTCGAAATTATTTGTGGTTAGATCATCGTTGCGCACTAAAGCTCTAAAATAAAATTAATATAATGGCTAAAATCCTGGTAAGTTTCATTATTACGAAATCTGAAGAAAATCAAAATGGAACTGACCCTGCATAAGATTTTCGGTGTGAGTAAACAAGTCCTGTCCATTTGGACTAACAAAGTGCTGTTGTTCCAGATCGTCACCCTAGCTTTGGTAGCAGTGGTTGTCGCCAAGCCAGGTAACATTTATGTTTTGATTCTTTAAAACCTCGAAGTTAAATGCTTCATAAATTCTTACGTTTTTAAAAAGTTTTTAATAGCTTCGACTGTCATATGTTCAAAAACAACTTTTTTCTAGTAGCTATGTGATCGTGTATGTGATCTATGTATTTATTTGGAAAATAACGGTATCATTCAATTCAATTTTTTGTTTAATTTTACATTTCACCTTTTTTTTTTTTTTTTTTTTTTTTCATTGTACAATTCGATACAATTTCTAAATGAAACGGATTAAGAAATAGTTAAATTTTTAATATGCAAATTGATTTTATTATATCTACGTGAACGAAATAACGAGTAAACATCCAATTATATCTTTGCGTACTTCAGTGTATAGTTTGAAACACTGCACAAATATTGTGGACCAATAAAAATGGAATGTTTTCAAAGTAGCTTCCCTCCAATACCGCCAACTCTTAACGTCAAGAGTATCTTTATAAATTATCTTTACTGGTTTGCAATCCAGTAAAGATAGGAAATATCGTGAAATGAGAGGGTTTTTTTTTTTAAATAATATCCTTCAATATGTGGTTTATCGCATATTATACACATTTAAACAATAACTAGCTATCCCGTAACCTCTTTTAATTGATTTCTTATTCTTAAGTAAACACCCGACTCAATAAATTTTTTGAGATATTGGCATAGGTAAAAGGTAATTTTTCCATAAAAACTATCATCATCAATATTAGATCGTATTTCCGCTCACTGTTTTTTAAATTCAGATTTAAGGAGACCGGAAACTAAATTATTTTCAGGATACGGTGGTGGATACCACGATGACGATGACTTCAGCCACGGAGGTCATGAATTCGGCAGTCACGGCAGCGAAGTTCATGGTTTTGAAGGGCACGACATAGAAGGACACGGCGTCGGTGGTCACGGCAGCGGCCTGGTTACCGGTGGAGGCTCTGTCGGGGCTGGACACGGCGTTGGAGGTCACGGTGTCGATCACGGCGTCGGTGAGCACGGCGCAGGACACGGCGTTGGAGTTCACGCTGTCGGTCACGGCGTCGGTGAGCACGGCGCAGGACACGGCGTTGGAGGTCACGGTGTCGGAGGTCACGGCGTTGCACACACTGGCGAAGATTTCGCCTTCGGTCACGGTCACGGTGGACACAGCAGTGAGAGCTTCGAGCACGGTGCATACGATCATAGCGGAGAGGAATTCGGCCACCATAGCCACGGGCATTGATCGGATGATAGAATAAGAATGTTTCGTTAGTTTCGTGGTATCGGCGTATTGTTTTAGTCCATTGTAAAATAACAAAGTTTGGAAAATTAATAAAATTAATAAATAAAATACCTACGCCTGAATAAAATAACCAATACTTTTTTTTTATTTACTTACAACTTGATTTAATTCGAATGGATATTAATTGCGACATTTATAAGTTGTCTGGAGTCAAAGAGATAAGTGAGTGGTTATTATTAGTAACTCTAATATCCAATATTTCTTCATATACATTATGATGGAATATTCAATGAGAATTGTGAATAACGAGAATTGAGACATAATTTAAAAAAGAAAGAAAATTTTTAATTTTCCAATTCAGTTTGCAAGACTCAAGCCATATAAATGACAGCCAAATTGTCAAATTTCTAAATAAATGCTATACTTATAAGTATATAGATATTTTTGAGGGAAAAAAGAATGCTAAATAGCTATTCTTAAGGGATAAAATTTATTATTTATTTCTTATCTTATAAATCTACGTCTTTTGGTTTCCTTCAAATCAGTTGGGCATTAAAGCATGGATTGGCTTAATGATTTGGAAATTCAAGTTCGTGGATTAAGAGCAAATTTGCTAAAATCGTCATTGAAAATTTTCTTTTGTTTTCACCGTGTTCGAAATATATTTTAATACGGTTAGTTTGAGTATCAAAAATAAAATAATGAAACAACGATACAGATTCTAACATTACACATTTGCCAATGAATACCGAATCGAAGGGAGGGAACTATACTTGATGTTGGTATTTGAACAATTGAACATTCTGAGGAAATGCAACACTGCATTTCTATTCAGCAATTCCACTATATGGGATACAACACAGAATATTTCCGATATTAGCAACATTACTTCTAAACCATCAAAGTTATATCTATGTCCCTAACGCTTAAAATTCGTTGAAACGCAGCAAAGTCAATAAATTTATTATGATTATTGAGTTAAAAAAAAATTATCAACGCCACCCATTAAGGTATTGCAATAGAAAGGAAAAATCTCAATCTTCTTTTTAATTTTGCGTAGTTCTGAACTTCGAACCTGGAAATTCCCTTTTCTAAATATAATTCCACAATGATATTGCTTCATATTAAATGTGATCAAAAAGAAATTAATAAAAATAACTTAAGGATCGCATCATCATTTTTCATTAAAAAGACGTGATATGAAAATCATTGGAACGAGGATATTTGTTTAACTCTGCAAAATCTATGAACAAATGATTAACTATGGACGGACTCTCCTGGCTGCTGTAGTTATATACTGATGTTAGAGAATCATATTTCTAAAGAAACATTTGCAATTTCTAGATGATTTATTCCTACGTAAGTCTAATACGAGTGTCTAATGATAGATTTTCGTTTTTAAGTTTTTCCAAAAAAATCTAAATTTAATTAAAAAAAAAGTACTTTAATTAAACAGCTTAAACTTTCTCGTATATTTAGGTACGTAATGCATACAGGAATTATAACTCTGACGCGAATGCTTTGAATATTATTTTTTTATATACATACAATATTATTATAGGAAATTTCGAAACGCTTTGACAATATTCAGCTCAGAAGATAAACAATAATTTAAAATAAAGCAAATATGTCTCAGGGATAGACCTTTAGGGTCTATCCTATTAACTTAACCACAACTTTTCGGCTTTTTGAGGGTCGATGTGCACGTATCATAAAAATTTTACTCTATATATAAATATAATTTTTTGCAAACGCGCTAAAAGAAGTATAACTTCAAAAAATACTTTGATTAATGAATTGTCGTATAATCTGAGACGAATGACGCATATATATGACAAATAGGATTTTTCTATGGATAATAAATATTTAAATACCCGATTCACTCACAACGAAAATAACGATGATAACGTTCAGCTCTGAAGATAAACAATAATTTAAGATAATACACATTAAACACATAATTGAAAGTATGTTGTAAACACTTACAGAATATTATATTCGTAAATGCGAAAACTATTATTCAGTGTGAGAATACTTCGAAGGTTCTCCTAATTATTTTAAAGATTCTAAAACAATGCAGTTTTAATAAAGATGACGCATGTCCTTACTGCGTGGCGTATAAAAATTGTTCCGCTTTACATTTTTATGACATCTAATACCTTTACACGAGCAATTCTTGTATATATGTATATATATATATATTTATATATAATCGGAATCTCGGAAACGATTTTCATGAAATTTAGTATGTGCGAAGATTCGGGTACGAAAAATCGATCTAGCTAGATTTCATTTTTAGAAAATGTCCTTTTATCCCTGCTTTCAGGGAATGAAAAATATCATTCGAATATGACGGTAACTTTCGTCGAAAAAAAATGTTATAATAGCTCGGTCGGTAATGAAAGAGAAGGGGCCGCAGTTCGTGTCACGATCATTTACACACTTTTTTTACTTTTTTTTCTTTTCAGATCATTGTTTTCTTTATTTTTTTTATTTTCCAAAATACTCTATTTACCATAAAAAAACGAGCAAAGCTTTTTTTTCTGAAAAATCTTTTTTTTTGTGATAAATAAATGTCTTTAACCTGAAAGCTCGGTCCTCTAGGTACTATTATATAAGTGAATTTGACCGATGATATAAAACGCATGATACGGAAAGGGATGCCAGTCTATAGATCTGCATTGATTACGTCAATGATACATAGGTCACAATTCCATAAACAATATTTAAAAAGTAATTCCAACATTTGAAAACTCTTTGGCACTAAAAAATTTGACCGACGCTCAAAAAATGGACCGCGTCACTTGGAGCAATGCCATGGTTACCAAGGAAAGGGCATAAAATTTGGTGTGGGACATATTAACAGGTAACAAAACATCGATTTATTGCTACGATCCCAAACCAATGCAGCAATGGAGCGTATGGGTCTTACAAGATGAGCCGGAACCACCCAAAGCGACGCCCATGAAAAATGCATCTAAGCGGATGTTTGCTTTTTTTTAATAAAACTGGACACACGACTACTGTTGCTTTAGAGAATCGTCGTACCGTGAATATATGACATAACGAAAAACTATACCGTAACGGCACGGGGCTTTTAAACCGTACCGCTATTTTAGGGATATAGACTTTGTTGAACTAACAATAAGCGGATGATTGCTTCTTTTTTTAATAAAACTGAACTGAGTAGTCATGTACTACTGTTGTTTTAGAGAATTGTCGTACCGTGAATAGTGGTACACGACCATTGGTTTACCGGAAGTTATTGACGAACTGCGTAAAAATAACCTTAAAAGCAGTATCATCTTGCACCACGACAATGCTAGTTCCCACACGGCCAGACAGACAAGTGAATTTTTGAAGGTGAAAACCGGAGAACTTAAGAGCCATCCTGCATACGGTGCCGACCTGGCCTTGTGAATTTTTCTGGTGCCAAAAATTAAGAACCAATTACGAAATTTCCAGAAGAGGCTGTCAAAATGTATGAAAAACACGTTTATGAGGTCACCACGAAGGAGTGACACAAATTTTTCAAAATTGGTTTAATCGTATGAAAAAGTGCATTTACGCAAAGGGAGAATATTTTGAGAAACAATAAATTCATTTTTGACCTTTAATAGTATTTTTCTCTTATTTATTCCGGAAACTTACATTTTATTTCTGACCCCCACACTTGGCAATTTCTATCCTCTGGGGGTTAGTTCTCGACGATTTCGAATATTATGCGGCACTTATATCAATTTATATCTATAAATAAAATTTTTACTTACAAATAATCACTTAATATTTGTTTAAAAAAAGATAAAAAGCATTAGTAACAATTAAACAAAATCGTAATAAATGGTAAGAGAAGCCACTTTCCTCTTCAAATTATATGTTTTTTTTATCTAGTTAGAATTACAAAAAGTAAAAAAATAATACAAAAATGAAATATAATGAGTTAAATAAACGCCAAAGAGGTGCACGAATGCAGGTAAGTTTGATAATTGTGATTGTTCAGAAGTTGAGGTGTATCTTATGTGTGCGGGTGCGAGTGTGTGTGTACGAATGTATGTTTGTGCTTATTTTGTTGGGCGAACGTTTTTGGCTAATAATAATCTTGTTACATTTTTCCTAACTTTAATAAAATACATCCTCTGATTCATAGTACGTCCAATTTAAGAGCGAATTTGAGAGAAGCCTTTTTGTTTCCCTGACAGCCTTTGTCTCAAATCTGAATGTTTTTGTCATTCTATTATTGATATGCGGGAAAAGAAATATCTTGAAACGCTGTGCTAAACATGTTCTAACCATGGGGATAGGGATCTTAATTTATTTCCATTAGCATGCTTTCATAACCATGTGACTCAAGTACATTCTTATGCACAGCTAACGTGACCCTGATGAGATAGTTTCCTACACTGAGAAGCTGAGCGTCCTTATAAAATTTTGTTGTTGGGTAATTAATAGGTTTTTTTTACGGCAACCTTTTCATGACTCCTCTCTTTTTTTATGTGAGAAAGTGCAAACAAGCTAGCGATTCACCTGATGTAGAAGACCTGAAAGAAGGAGACCTGTATATGCCAATCACAGTGAACGCATTTGGAACTTCTATCAAAAGCGCATTTGCGTCCTTAATATCTGGTTCTACCACTTTAGCTATCCGTTTACTGTTTACATACATTACCTATCACTCCACCAGACTTGTTAATATATTTTTGTGTTCTGTATAAATGGTAGCCATCAATTTGATTGACAATAGAACTGTCAGTCAACCAGTACTCACTCATTATAATGATGTCAAAGGCTACACCTAATGTAGTATAAATAATCACAAAATTATCAAAGTTACATTTCATTTATGTCCTGTTAGCTCATCACTAAGAAATATGAAAAAAAATAATAGTACAGAGCAGTAGATATATTTTTATGATTTGAAAATATTAAAATTGTGTCAAAACTGCTTAGAGTATATGTATAATATACAAACTTTAAATTAATGAAAATGTAAATATAAAAATAATGGTAGGTTTTATTTCGGTGAAAGTTGCAAAGCAACAAACTTCACTGTAAAATAGGATTAAATGCGATAATTGATAATGTTTTATTAAATAACTAGGAATTAAAGGTCCTATGTATTAGAAGATTCAGTTTACAAATACATACAGGGTGCCATAAATTGTGCGTACAGTCACGTCATTTCTTTTTTTTTTCTGTTTTTTCAAAACATTGCCCCTACTTTGGGATAACTTTATCATATTATATATTACTTTGGAACAACTATATGTCGGTCACATAAATACTCTGGCGACTGTCCCACGGAGTCATCAAGCGTATCTATGTATATTTGTTCAGGGCCATTATTAGGTGATCTATGCCATCGTCTGAAATGAGCCTTTGCATTATGTCATCTTTAACACCAAAAAACATAAAGAGACCCGTTTAGTAAATTATTAAAACACAATGATTCATATTAGAATTATAAAGTATAAGGATATTTCTTGATAAGAAAATCCAAAAAGTGATAATTTCATCTTTGGCATATTCTAATAATGACTGCAACATGGGTATTTTTGACAAGAAAAAAATTATAAGGAATATCCATACGGTTATGAGTCTCGGGCACGGACGTCATTTTAGATCGTCGCGATACTTTCCGCTATATAAGTCCTGAGAATTAAGCTCGGAATTATTTGTAGTTACATTCCCGTTTCACACAAACGTTTCAAAATAAAACAAATATTATGGCTAAGCTTTTGGTAAGTTTTAACTCAAATTGCACCACGTTCAAAAACTTGTCATGTATTGTGATGTAAACAAACTGTGTTCATTTGTATAAATATAAACAAAGTTTTGTTATTCCAGATCGTCCTACTAGCGTTAGCAGCGGTGGTAGTTGGCAGACCAGGTAACTATTTTATTTTGTTTCTTTTAAGACTCGAAATAAAATTCATTAATATTTTTCTTTTATTTTAAGACACATTAGACAGACAAATAGATTCATATTGTTTATATGCCGATATTTATCTGCTTTTATCATATTAACTTATTCACCCGTTGTTAGAGGAAATTAATGTATTGTTTAATAAGTGTAATAATGAAATCGATATTATTTTATTTCTATAAGACCTTCGCGGCCTGCCACTGAAGACATATTTATGTCTAAAAAAGTATTTATGCATCTTTCTTACTAAACTGAGCTCTTTATGGTTCCATACGCGTAGAGCAAAGCAATGGACCTATTAGCCTGCGCCTGTCTTTCCTTCTGAACACAATATGATTCAAAGCGACGATAAATAGGTTTGTAATTGGTAAATTGTTGATGATAAACCAAACTGCATATCCAATCACTCTCAGAAGAGGTCGTATGCTAGGCACAACGCAATCAACGCCAAAAAATATTGATATTACTTAGGTTTCGGGTACTTTAACATCCACTACTATTTTCAGGATTCGGTTACGGATTTCATAGCGAAGAAAACGGTAGTTTCTCCCACGGAGGGCATGGCTTCGGGAGTCACAGCGGCGAAGATCACGACTCTGATGGTCATAGCAACGAATCCTCTAGCTCCGGAAGTTATAGCAGCGAAGAACACCCTGTCGACAGCACCGGGTTTGGGCCAGGACACGCTCACGGCGGACACAGCAGTGAGAGTTCCGAGCATGGTAGTTTTGAACATGGTGGACACGGCCATAGTATCGAAGAGTGCGCAGCAGAAAGCCATGAGCACTATTAGGTTATAGAATTTTTTTTTAATTGAGTTCACCGAATTCCCATATTTTAGTTCTGTAGACAAAATTAGTTAAGGATGTTCATAATAAAATATGTATAATGTAAATATATTAAATTATAAATACGATTTTAATAGCCTTTGGATCTTTTTTTTATGAATATAAATCAGCGAATCGATTTTAGTGACTTATTTATAATTAACATGCCCCCAGATGAGTGAGACTTACTCATCGTATCATCAATGAATGCTATTGGGAAAGTTACTTAGGAATAAGAGCTCCAGTTATCTGTTTACTTAACGCTTCCTTTCCCTTTAAAGAAATAAGTTGCAATTCTGACAGCTGTCATGATCAATTCAGGAATTAAAATACGATTTTTATTAATGCTTCAATTATTCTAGAAGAGTGACTAAAAACAATTGAAATGTTTTAATCTAATTATATTTAAATTTTTTTCCGTGATGTAGTCTATATACCAGACAGAAAAATATCCCTATTTAAAAAACGAGCCAAGCACGAGTAGGATTCACGCACGAAGGGTTCCGTATCGTTTAACTATCACGGTTCATGAGATACATCCTGGTGACAGAAGGACAGACAGACAGACGCGGAGTCTTAGAAATAAAGCCGCGTTTTACTCTTTGGGTACGGAAGTCTAAAAATTATATTTTATTGTCCCTCTCTTTTGTTCAAAAAGAAAATTACCTTATAAAAAGTATTTTCAAGCACGAAACAAACACAAAAAGGGTATTCAATCATTTCCTCCTAACTAAATACTTAAATTGTAGCTTACCAAATATCTCGAGGAGAAAATTAATAAACTGACTATAGGATGGTGTATAGGTCTGCTGGTCGCTTTAACATGAATAAACTATTATACTTTCAATGATTTCCTCTCAACTAAAAATTTACGATAGCTTATTATGCAACCACGAATAAATAAATATGTCAGCTGGCTGGGAATACCCTCAGCTGACGCATTGAAAGTTATAACGCATGAACTAGGCAGGAGCATCCTATTTAAATGCATGCCCTCAAATTACAGTCAACTGATTTTGCATTATATTCCGAATACAAATTTTTGTTTGGGAAGGAAATGGCGTACTTTAATTATTCTCGTTATGTCTAAATATGGAAACAACAAACGAGCAAAGCATAGTTTATAAGAGACGTTATGAGGGATAAGTTATACCTATAGTCCGGCTACGAAAGCCCTTTTGTCTAGTGTATAAGATTATTGGGAATAATATCGTAATATACTATGTTACGATTTTACTCCCAAAATTCTTATAAAAAGCAATACTATAAAAAAAAAATACTCTAAGCCATCAGGGAAAATGAAGCGAACCAGTTTTATTTTGTTTACGATATTAACATAACCTGCCTTGAAAAACCCCGTGTGACGAAAAAGACTTAGTCCAGTCTTCTGCTTTTTAGTTTTACGTAGTTGTGATTTATGAATTTTATAATTTTAAAAAAGAACCAAACAATGTATTATCATATAAATTATACTAAAAAATAAACAATCAACATAACATTTATTAAAGAGACCTAATTACTCCGTTGAAAAATACATTAGACACCAGGATATTTACATGACTTACTTTGTTCTCCCGTTGACTTTATATTGATGTTGATGACTGTTATTTTTATATTGATGTTATTAAATCGTACTACTAAAAACAATATTTGAAAATTGATAATTAATGTTATACTAATATACCGCAAAGCACCTTGCTGTTTTTTTGTTTTTCGAACCGATGACAGCTTTGAAAGTTCGTAACTGGTTGACAAAAGTCTAAATATAGTAAAAATTACTTCGAATAAACAATTGAAATTTCATCGTATAATCTTAGATGCTTCCGATACGAATGCACATTTTCTTTTTTGTATAATAAACAAAAAGTCATCAATCAATACACTTTAAGAACACTTAGCTCTGAAGATAAATAATAATTAAATATAATGCACATATTTACACACAATTTACAAAAGCTTGGAGAATCCAAAAGATAGATAGATTAGATATAAGCAAAAACATTTAGTGTGAAATCCAGAAACCATATTGCGAAGTTACTTATTACTTCAAAATTACTATCTTCCAAATGCTACCATCGCATGCAATCGTCTCAAATCACCATTTAAAGTTAAACAAACACGTTTTATCTTTGGAATTTTCTAATAATGACATGGGTATTTTTGACAATAAATAGATTATTACATCCATGCAGTATGAGGCCGGGGCATGGATGTCAGTTTAGATCTTGACTTTTCCGCTATATAAGCTGGGAGAAATAAGCTCAGAATTATTTGTAGTTAAGTGTTCGATTCGCACTAACGTTTCGAAATAAAACAAATAAATGTTATGGCTAAAATTCTGGTAAGTTTCATTCCTAATAAATTTAACTATTTTTGCAGAATTCAATTTTAAATTCCCAATTTATGAAGAATACAAATCGTGTTTATTTGGGTCGTAAATCCTTTTATTGTTCCAGATCGTCGTACTATCGTTAATAGCGGTGGTAGCGTCCAGGCCAGGTAAAAGCCGTTTTGTTTTGATTATTCAAGGCCTCGAAATGCATTCATAAAACCTTTTGTTGTAAAGGGATTTTTAATAGATTCGTATGTTTATACGGATTTACGATTTTATATATGAATATAATGAATCATTAAGTAAACTTTTATGTGCTTCTAAACTTTCTAAGGTTTTAAATATTATAGACGGATAAAAGCAGAAAAATGATGATGATTCCGTGGTGCAGTTGCCAAAGCATTAGCCTCGCCGTAGTGGGTCGCGCGTTCGATTCCCACACGGGACAACACTTAGTGTGATAATTGTTAGCCCACAGATAATCGTTTCGCGTCTGGGTGTATGCCCACGTGAAATATATATTTGTAAAACGTCCTTACAACACAGGATAATAATATCCTAAAGTAAGGGCAGTATTTAAAAAAAAATAAAAATAAGATCGATTCACCGTCGTAGGTCTAGTGAGCGAAGTAATTACCGCCCATTTTATTAAATGAGACAACGCATTTGCAACCCTTTGAATGCTGCTTAACGTACGTGGCAAACAAGTGATGATTTCGTGACGCAGATATTGGTCAGTTGGCAAGGTATTTGGTTGCATTCGGCGCCGGGGGTCGTGGGTTCGATAACATGTTTCGGATTTGGCTGTTTGTCCACGTGAAATTTATGTGTGTAACGTCCTTACAACAAAGGATAATATTATCCTAAAATAAGGGCAAAGTTTTTAAAAAAATAAATAAATTAATAAGTAAATAAAAATTAATAAATAATAAAAATATTTTTACAATAACTACGTAACTATTTAAACATAACCTATTATAGGTTATAATACTGTATTATTTGTATATTTTGTTTACTATATAATATGTTTATATTTAAAAAAGTATCAATGTATTTTTCATACTTCTACTCTTCTGCCGCGACTCTGCCTTGGTTTCCCCATGAGCGATAGAGCCACGGCTACTAAGCCCCTCCTCGGTAAGTCGGGAACCCGGTTGGAGGGGAATGGACCGATGTGAATGATTTCCTTCTGATCACAATGTGACTCAAGGCGATGATAAATAGGTTTCTAATTGGTTTCTTCCTGGAAGTAATTTATTGGTAAAACAAACTGGATATCGTGGCAAAAGCCAGTGCTTCTTCAAATTTTCCTCCACAACTTCTTTCAAACCTATATACCAACTAAATAATTTTCAGGTTTCCATGGTGGATTCCATGGTGATGCTTACGGTCATTTCGGCTACGGGGGACATGGCTTCGGGAGTCACGGCAGTGAAGATCACGGCAGCAAAGTTGATGGCTTTTATGGTCATGACAGCGAAGCTTTTAGCTTCAAAGGTCACGCCAGTAAAGAATATGGTTTTGGGGCTCACGGCAGTGAAGGACACGGTTTTGAGGTCCATGACATCGGAGGACACGGCATACAAGGACAGCGTGTCGAGGAACATGGCAGTGAAGGACACGGTGTCGATGTTCACGGCAACGAGGAGCATGGAATGCAAGGACATGGCATACAAGGACTTGGTATAGGGAAGCATGACAGTGAAGGACATAGTGTTGAAATCCACGGTAACGAAGAACATGGAATTGAGGGACACGGCGTACAAGAACACAGTGTCGCGGGGCATGGCAGTGTAGGACAAGGCGTCGAGGTTCACGGTAACGAAGAACATGAAATCGAAGAACAAGGCGTTCAAGGACATGGTATTGAGGAGCATGGCAGTGAAGGGCAAGGCGTCGAGGTTCATGGTAACGAAGAAAATGGTACCGAGGGACATGGCGTACAAGGACTTGGTATTGGGGAGCATGACAGTGAAGGACATGGTGTTGCAATCCACGGTAACGAAGAACATGGAATTGAGGGAAACGGCGTACAAGAACGCAGTGTCGCGGGGCATGGCAGTGTAGGACAAGGCGTCGAGGTTCACGGTAACGAAAAACATGAAATCGAAGAACAAGGCGTTCAAGGACATGGTATTGAGGAGCATGGCAGTGAAGGGCAAGGCGTCGAGGTTCATGGTAACGAAGAAAATGGAACTGAGGGACATGGCGTACAAGAACACAGTGTCGATGGGCATGGCAGTGAAGGACAAGTCACAGAGATTCACGGTAGCGAAGAACATGGAATCGAAGCACAAGGCGTACAAGGATATGGTATTGAGGAGCATGGCAGTGAAGGGCACAGCGTCGAAGGTCACGGCAGCAACCTGAGTATTGGAGACGGTGAAACCGCTATTGGATCCGGACACGGTCTTTGGGGTCATGGTGATGCATACGGTCATTTCGGCTACGGGAGACATGGCTTCGGGAGTAACGGCAGTGAAGGTCACGGCAACAAATTTCATGCCTTTTATGGTCATGGCAGCGAAGCTTTTAACTTCAAAGGTCACACCAATAAAGGATATGGTTTTGGGGGTCACGGCAGTGAAGGTCACGGCAACAAATTTCATGCCTTTTATGGTCATGGCAGCGAAGCTTTTAACTTCAAAGGTCACACCAATAAAGGATATGGTTTTGGGGGTCACGGCAGTGAAGTACATGGTTTTGAGGTTCATGGCATCGGAGGACACGGCGTACAAGGACGCGGCGTCGAGGAACATGGCAGTGAAGGACAAGTCACCGAGGTTCACGGTAACGAAGAACATGGAATCGAAGGGCAAGGCGTACAAGGACATGGTATTGAGGAGCATGATAGTGAGGGACAAGGCGTCGAGGTTCATGGTAACGAAAAACATGGAATCGAGGGATATGGCGTACAAGAACACAGTGTCGACAGACATGGCAGTGAACCGAATGTTGGCCACGGTGAAGCCGCTATCGGATCCGGACATGGTGTTTGGGGTCACGGCGATGCATACAGTCATTTCGGCTATGGGGGACATGGCTTCAGGAGTCACGGCAGTGAAAATCACGGCAGCAAATTTCATGGGTTTTATGGTCATGGCAGCAAAGCTTTTAACATCAAAGGTCACACTGGTAAAGGATATGGTTTTGGGGGTCACGGCAGTGAAGTACACGGTTTCGAGGTTCACGGTGACGAAGAACATGGAATCGAAGGACAAGGCGTACAAGGACATGGAGTCGAAGATCACGACAGCAGGCTGAGTGTCGGATACGGTGGAGCAACTATTGAGGCCGGCCATAATAGCGGAGACGACGTCGGACACTATTTTGCACACGGCTTCGGACATAACATCGGACATGATTCCGGCAGGATTTAGGCTCACGGCGAATACAACAGCGAGAACTTCGAGCATGGTAGTCATGGCTATGGCAGCGAGGAGTACGCAGCCGACAGTCATAGTACTATTACATTGTAGAATATTAGAGTTTCACGGAATTGCCATATTGTTTTAGTTTTGTAGAAAGTTTGTTAAGGACATTTAATAATAAAATATATGAAACTTAAATAATATGTGTAATGATTTTCGGTACAAAAATCAATTTGAATTAAAGAAAAAATTTTTTTTCGAAATATTTTAGTGTGGCAGAAATTTTAATATGATGTCATTTAAGTATCTAAAAACCCAATATCTATTTTACAAAAAAATATTAAAATTTGTAGAAAAAGTACGAAAAGATTGTCGCCGCTGTGGGAATCGAACCCTAAATGCTAAAAAAACAATGATCTACATTGGACGATCTACAAAGGACGTTAAGATTTTCGTCGGTGTGGCATAGAGCCGTTTAGCTCAGTGGCTAGAGCGTCAGGCCGCGAATGCCGAAGACGTGGGTTCGATTCCCACAGCGGCGACAATCTTTCGTACTTTTTCTACAAATTTTAATGTTCAATCTTAAGTGCAGAGAAAAAAATTTAAAAAAATTGCCAAAAAATAATTTAATTGTTAAACCTTCAGTCAGACCGGTCCAAAATTAAAAAGTGATGTAGGAAGAGTACAATGTTCGATGCGCACTGATGAACGCAACCTCTACCGCCAGGCAGATAGACCGTATCATCATCATCATCATTTCAGCATGTTTGAGTCCATTGCTGAACATAGGCCCCACAGACTGCCACGAAACACGATGCTGAGCCACCTGGATCCATCGACTACCTTCATACTTGCACAGTCGCCCGGAAAAGTGAGAGACAATTAACAGACCAACCTGCTTCAAGGTTAATGCAACTGGACTCCTTATCTATGAACAGCGATAAACCCTTAAAATGAAATATGTTGGCTGCTCGTGTGCCACCTTAAATGAAAAATGAACGAATACTATATACAAATGAAGAGGGCAGTAAACAATTATTAAAAAATTATAAGTTAACAAACAAAAGACAAGCTTAATAATCCCACATGATTGTAATGATTTGTTGACTTCTTGATTTTACGCGAATTTAATAGTTAATTAATTTAATATGTAATGATTTTGTTAAATTAACGCATCTGATGCCTCTTTTACATTTAAATACCTTAGCGCAATCCAACAGAGCGTAAGTAAACCGGCTATAATTGTTCTCAAAATATGTATTATAATAAAAGCCTATAAAAATCATTTGTCAAACAATAGGCACAATTTTATTTTATTATCATTTTTTATGAAATATTCGTTAGTCGGTCTAAATAAATAAAACATAAAGTACTTCCATATGTAGTAAAAAATTGTGTGCTCGATTTGATATTTTTAAGCGAATCCTTTGTGATCGTTTTAAAACAAGTTTTAGATCGTGGGAACATAATATTAAAGCGCTGCACTTCGAATTAATTTCTTAATTTAAATTAATGGGAATGCTTACGAATATTATCTAAGGAGTAAACGAAACAGAAGAAAACAGAAAAATGTTCGGTATACCAATTCTACAATCCTTGCTAATATTATAAACGCGAAAGTTTATATATATGGATGGATATTTGTTATTCTTTCACGCAAAAACTACTGAATAGATTTTAATGAAACTTTAAAGAAATATAGCTTATAGCTTATACATCAAGATAACACATAGGCTATAAAGTATAAAGATATTGTGTATAAATAATTTATAAAGATATTGTGAGAATTCGAGACTGCGAGATATTCTGACGTATAATAAAAAACTCATTGTTAATTCCCTTTGGCCGCGCTGGTGAAGCCACGGTTAACAGCTAGTCAACTATAAACGGGTTATTTTATGGTGGCAGGGCAGCACGCAGCAGCCTCGGCTGTTGCACGAATGGGCAGGCCCGTCCGGGTAAGTACCACGACCGCACAGAAGACCAGCGTAAAGTGTAATTATGACAAATACTTTCGCGTTTCGTCTGGTGAGTGAGGTAGCCGGAGCCAATTTTCAAAAGATTGTCAACGCATCTGTAACCCTCGGGTGTGGCGGATGTCCATGGACAGCGGTATTCACTTAACATCAGGTAAACCGTCTGCTCGTTTGACAACTTTTCGCACAAATATAAATGATGTATCAAAATGCCTCCTTATTGTAATAGCTTGGAGACCCGAGAAGAGAAGCATTAAATGAAATAATATAGACTTTAATATTCAATCTTCTTCTTAGGTTGCCTCTTAAACTAATAAAGTACAACTCTGTATATTTCGGATTCACAACTACGACTTTACTCACTCATTATGACGAGGTTTTCTCTTCTTAGCTATTTTTCTCATCATTTTTAGTTGCAAGAGCTCGTATCTGTTATGCAAATCAGTCGGGTCTCTTATCTGTTGTGCAGTTGATCAAGATATACACCTGTAAACCGCTTAAAATGTTATTTTTTATCATTATTTGCAGTCGTCTACAACGAATTCCAATCTGACCCTCACCATAAAGATCTGCATCTAAGGCGGATATATCACGTTTGAGTTATTAAACAAACAAGATTATTTAACAGACCTCCGTATTAACGTAAACATTTTATTTTACAGCGATTTACAGAGTCAATGAATAATCATTTCAACTGTCATAGGACCACGAAACAGTTCGTTGTCCGTCGTGCAGGTCCGTCTGGAGAAGCAAAAACCTCACAGAAGACTGATTTAGCGGATTTAGTAAAATAATAAATTTAAAAAAACTTGAAATTTTGTGGTACAGTCAGCAGAAGTCTTTGCTGTTTTGATGTCTGGCTCGTTTTGGGATGTGCCACAGCCTTACAGGATATCGACGGGTAGTAGAAATATTTCGACTTTTACATTTCATCTAGTTAATAAGTTCACCGACATTAAACCTCTTTAAGATTGGCATCATAAACAGTCAGGAATAACTGTGGTAGAGCCACCCATCAATCTTCGCTGTCGCACAAATGGGCCGGTCTGTCTGGAGAAGTATCATGATCTCGCAGAAGAACGGTGTGAAGTGGAAGCAGGGCCGGATTTCGGGGAGGGTATCCACATTAGATATTAACAGAAATCAGTAGAAAATAATTTGGGGCCAAGGTGCCTTTGCTGCCCCGAGGCCTCAAGACCTCTAAATCTGGCTGGAAGTGTTATACTTCTGCGTTTCGGCTGTGCGGTAAACGGAGCACGCTTAAAAGTGTCAATGCATCTGTAAAAAAATTGTAATCCTATGGTTGTTGCAAATGTCCATGGGCGTCGGTTATCACTTAACATCAGGTGAACCGTCATCTCATTTGCCTCCCTCTCAAAAAGAAAAAAAGAATAAGATAATTCGGGAAATGTGACAAATTATAATTTATTTTTCCTCTTGTTCTTCGCCTTTTGTTTGCCAAATTAATACAAATTGATAATGGCAGATACAACTTTAATAGGGTCGGTCTCGACTCAAGAGACGTGTGTTGTAAAAAAAGACTATTAAAGCCTCATCGCGAGGTTAAGGTGAGATAGCCTGTTCCCACACTCCGCTATATAAGCGGCGGTTGTTACGCTTCGAATTATTAGCAATCGCACATCGTACCTAGACGTACAAAGCCCGAAACTATAACAAATCAAGTCCTCTCGAAAATCAATATGGCCAAATTCTTGGTAAGTAATCCAAAGTCACTTCGTGCAATTTTTATTATAGACTTGCTAAAACCGGTCACGCTGAGCTGTGGCTTTTTTTCTTTCGCCTCTGTTGGAATTTCGGAATAAAAAGGGATATAAAAACACGTTTTTTCACTATGTTATAATGCTTTATACTTTACGAAATGTGGTGAAATCTGAACATTATCACCCTTCTGTCTTTATCCCATCTTAGGTGATGACTTCAACCCTCCTTGAGAACAAACATCCTAAACAATTATCCGTGGAGCACACAAATAATCCCGTGTGGGAATCGAACCCACAACTCCCGACGCCGAAGCCATTAGCTTAACAATTGCGCCACCTAGTTATCGTGAACTCTAAACATTATTGTTAAAAAAGCTTGAAGTTAATCCTATTTAGATGTAAATCACAAGTCTTTTAGAATTCATTAATTTTAGTGCGTTTAGTTGTTGCATTTATTAAACAATATATTGCACCAAAACTAAGCACAAATAAACAATCTTCGCCATATAATTTGAAAGTGTAGTAAATTCATTATGATAGTCATGCCGTAAATAGAAATTTTAACAATAAAACAAACAACCAAGGAATAATAATAACAATCGTAAAATTCAACAAACTTGTCGTAGAGACTGCGCTTAATTTAGCATTAGTAAAACATTTATTATGTAAGCTATATTATTATACTTAATGTTACTTCATTTAATATTGTTCTAAATAACAATACATATAATAGCATTCACGGTCCTGAACACCAGCTCCTCACTCCAATATATATTTATTTAACGTAAATTAATTTTTTGTTCATTTATTGTTTTCCCAGATCGTTGCCTTGGCGTTAATCGCAACAGTAGCAGCAAGGCCTGGTGAGTTGTATTACTCATGGTAATAACATATACATATAAACTTTGTTGGTCTGAGAAGAGAAAATATGTTGCGTTAGGTTTTTTAATAGGAACGTTTAATAACATTTTATGATAGGTACTTAAAGGCGTTTTGTTTTATTTCGTTACTATTTAATCCTAAAGAAATATTTAATCCCAAAGAATTTCTTGGGCAAAAAGTTTGAAGGGTAAATATAACAATCCGAAGAATAAAATTGAAAATGAAAAAATCAGGAAAATGAATATTTCAGGTACTAGTTACTACCTACCTATATTACCTAACTTCTTAGTAGGGAAAGAAATCACTCAATGAGTAACTGCAAATTAATATATATCGCGATGAGAATCAGTTGAACGAATATTTTTAACTACAAACAACTGCGACACTGCCATGATAGTTTGCAGTTCAGACAAATACGAATCCAAATCCAAAGGGAATGTTTCCTAAAGTTTGCAATTAGTTTTAATAATTTTTATTACCTTAACTTCAAAATTATTTTACTATTTTTGTAAAAAATGAATAACATATCTTATAGACATACGACATTAATGATTGTATAATTTGGCCAATAATTAGATCAAAAGTTACAAAACGTCTTGTAAAGTTTTACTAAGATTTCGGAAAATAAATAGCAATGCCTGATGAAACCTGGATGGGATCGGATTCTGATCATCAAGTAAGGTGAGAATTATTGTATACTTTAAACGTTAAACCGTTTAATGCTGTTATGCAGGCTACAGCGGCGGATACAGTAGCAGCGGCGGATTGGGCCACAGCGGAAGCGGTTTTGGCGGTGGTCACGGCGGAAGTGGTTTTGGCGTTGGATTTGGCGGCGGTCACGGCGGAAGCGGATTTGGCAGCGGTCACGGCAGCGGGTTCGGAGGCGGGCTCGGCAGCGGCTTTGGCAGTGGGCACGGCGGCAACTTTGGCAGCGGACAAGGCAGCGGTTTTGGAAGCGGACATGGCAGAGGTTTCGGTTCTCACGGCGGCAGTATCGGCGGCGGCTACGGATTGGGCGGTGGCCACAGCAGCGGCGGATTCGGACACGGACATTACTAGAGTCTGTAATGATAGCGCCGACTATACCGTGTTCTTGTAAACTGTGATAGAAATAAATTATGCACTCGAAAAATCGTTAGTGTGACGACCAGAAACGGATTTTATTTCCACTAGCGACCCACCCCGGCTTCGCACGGGTGCAATGTATTATTCATATAAACCTTCCCCTTGGATCGCTCTATCTTGTAAAAACATAGGGACAGACAGACAGCGGGACGACTTTGTTTTATACTATGTAGTCATGTAATAACAAGTTTTTAAGTACTGAAGCTCTATGTCCCGCTAAAGCCTGAAATGAGTGTAAATTAGAAATGAAAGTCACCGGCTAGCTAAAGAAAAAAACAATAATGTTAATAACTGTATTCACAGTAACAACACAGTGGGATTGAAGGGTGGACCTATGAGATGTCTTCGTTTATTAATATCGTTTATCAAAAAGGATCAATTCTTACAATACACACAGCCTCTTATTTAATAAATTGCCAAAAATATTAAATAGTAACAACCTCGCTTGCATTGAACTCCAAGTCATCTACTTTAGAACAGCATAAACTTTTGTCGTAAAGATTAAAAAATCAAAATTTGCTAAAAGCTCTGATAAAACCAAGGTAAAGTGATTCGCTGCTACAACAGTTTGCACAATCTGCCTCTGCTTGGTTTAATGACATAAAGAAAAGTAGAACTCATTATTTTAACTAACAGTATGTCTGTTCAATGACAAATCGCTATAATTTTAGGTTTCAAAACAGAACATTTCAGTTATACGACACCTTGGCAGTACAATTCTTATCTCAGTAATTGGTTACAGTCATTATAAATTAGGCAATGCACTTCCTTTCATCCTTTGTTAACTGCACTTTTATTGCTGTAACGAATATTTCGCAACAGAGAACGTTAAGTAATTAAAATTTGACATTGAATATAAAAGCTTTGCATTAAATTCTTGTAACGCGTGTAAAGTTAATGAATTAAGAACTAAGTATATACTTGAGACGATTGAAAGCTACGTTTTTTGGTCCACACTAACAATACAAGTCTTTTTTCATTATCACCTGACTCTTTACTAAGTGAAGCCTGCCGTTTCATCCAGGAGTTGTCCAGTCTCAAATTGGTATTGACCACGGCCTCAAGAATTGTGTGAACAGTTAAATTTCATCCGAATAGAGGAGTTGCAAGCGTACACCGATCCTGGTCGTGCTCCATCCATAACTCCATTTACATTGTTCATCATCACTATTTCGGGCTGTTGAACAAAAGCCTCCCCCACAAAATTCCACGAATCAAGGTCTTGTGACACTTAACACCCATCGACCTCACGCACAATTGCACAGGTAACACTATCAAGTTGGGGTCGTCATACACTGCAATGGCCACTACGTTCTCATTGTTACTCTTCGACAAATAAGCATTGGTGTTACGATACATCCTCTAGATTATGCACACATAACTGAAGTAATTCTTTCACGTTTCAACTGACGAAGTTTTTGATTTCTGCTTTCGACGATTCTTGACAAAAATTTTGGTATTTTTGATCGGAAAGTATCAAAACTTTTCCATATTGCAAGTATGGTGAGTAGGAAATAACTGCTTCCCTTGAATATATTTTAATGCACTAAAAGCTTATCTACAGCTCGCTCATTAAAAGCGCGAGCACGAGCAGCAGACATTGACCCCGGTGGGCGCATGGTGATAAATTAAAAGTCAACATTTCTTTATTCAATATATGCTTATTTTAAGCTCTTTTTGAACTTCAAAAAACTACCGACAATGATATCAGGATGTCTTCATCGGAAACCCTTCTAAGTCATTCGTTACCAGCTTTGTACTGCGCCATACTACTTACTACCAATTAAAATGCAAGTGAAAGTTCACGATACACGTTACGTTGTTACACCCCCACGTAGGTTGAGGTAGACCACAAACTCAGTGTTTTTAAAAAAAATACTGTTCATTATTGTCTATCTTACGTGTTCAATCATCCTTTTTTTTAGGTGAAAAGTTGCCTAGCGAGGAGGCGGTTCACCTGATGTTGAGTGAATACCGCCGCCCATGAACATCTGCTACACCCGTACTTGACAACCTTTTGAAGATTGGGCTCCGGCTGCCTCACTCACCAGACGAAACGCGGAAGTATTTGTTATACTTCCACTTTACGGCGGTCTTCTGTGAGGTACTTACCCACAGGAGCCTGCCCGTTCGTGCAACAGCCGAGGCTGCTGCGTGGCCCTACCAGTTAGTAGTATCCTACTGCCTTTATCCCAACTAAGTTGTTTTGGCTAGATTATCTACGACAGGCCGCTTGCCTGACCTCAACACTTCTTAAGACCAAAAACCCAGATCCGGAACAATTGTATGTGAATCAAACAAATACTTGTCCCGTATGTTAATCGAAGCCACTACCCCCTGCGCCGGGGACAAGAACTTAGCATCTTCATAAGTTATACATAGACATATAAGACTGTCCGAAGCGTTTGCGTTCATAGTGATTGCGGGTCACACTGAGGTTTTTTATTTGGCGGTTCACCTGATGTTAAGTGATAACCACCTGCCCATAGGGTTGCAGATGCGTTGCCACCTCTTAATAAAGTGAAACCCGGCTAACTCACTCACCAGACGAAAAGCAGAAGTGCAACACTTCTACTTCACGCTGGTCTTCTGTGAGGTCGTGGCTCTACCACGGACGGACCTGCCCATTTGCGCAACTGAGAACACTGTTGCGTGGATCTATATCAATATGTCTCCTAAATTATTTTAATAAATGAAAAAAATATCCTGGATAGAGCTTTTATTATTTGCAATTTAAAAATATAATTCCTCTAATCGCTGACATCATATGTTTACCCTCAATGGCATTATAAAATAAATTATTAAAGTAATACATACCCTATATTTTTAACGTTTGATTTAAAGGTTGTTTTTCACATTTAACTTTAAATAAAAAAAATATATATAGTGTCGACATATAGCTGACATGTAACACGAATTCTCGGCCATAAATATTCTCCGATGTTATCCAAAATACGAAGTACAACTGATTAATAGCTGCTCTTCGGTTAAAATATATAGGGAAAAAAAACAAATTGAATTATAACCAAAATGTGGACAATTCAATAAAAAATACCTCGCCGTGGTAAAACATTAGCATTTATTCTTTTATTACAATCCTCTTTAACCATAGATAATATCCTCTCTAACCATTGATAATATCCATAGACTTTCACGATTTAACAACTGACCGAAGGCAAATTAAACTGAAGCGACATTACATGAATGCGATCGTTCGCCGCAGAAAAAAAAACTACGTTTATTAGAAAAATACACGTCCTCAGTGCTTTGGTCTGCTACACTACGCGCTCTACGATAAAGTGCGCAACTCAACTCCGTACCCCTCGTGTATAATAGTGACTTATCGAGTTTAACAAATGCACCAACAAAATGATGATCCGCTTTTCCGTACTTACTACTTCACGAGACTTTTAATCCCCCACGCGGCTGCCGTACTAAAAAGAACCTATCCTAAACGGTGTCAGTATAAATATACATATATATATATAGCATTATTATTTCTATTATTTACAGTTTTCTAAAGTCTATATACACAGATCGATAATTTATAAATATATGTATATGAATATTACAGGAAAAATGAAAGTAATGTTACCTAAGTCTCAACTAACATTAAAGCATTTTAGAAGGCGAATAAACGAACACGGTCATTTCTAAAACTATTGTAATAAACAGTCACTAAATTCTGGGAAAATTACAAAATATTTAATTGTTAATTACACAATAATTATGTTTAAAGTCAATAAATATGTGAATGAATCCTCCAATATATTATTCTTACTCCTTCGATTACCCTGTTACACTAAGCTGTGGTCAATTAAAAAAATCAATAATTTATTACATCACTATGTCCATCAAACAAAATGAGCAAATATAACAATAACTAGAAAGTCTATCTTAATGACTCGATATAACATTGATATATCATATAGGAAAATGTTAACACATCTGAAGCAATGTAAATATATTAATTATGGTCTACATTTCATAAATAATTTTAACATTTTGCTTGAAAAGATCTCAATAGTTATAATGCAGGTGAAAAAGTTAAATATAAAATTAATATTTTAAAATTAAAATCTCCTACATTCGAAAATCGAAAAACTAAGTGTTTATTAAATTAAGCGTGATGTTATTATTATATACGCTAAAGAATAACTGTTCTATAATAATCTAAACCAATTAATCTCACAACAAAATAAAATTAACATAAACAAAATAATTAATACTTTATATAGGACCCACCCTTGCACCTGAGTCCTTCTAGCATTTTTTTTAAACTGTATGAATAGAAAATTTTATAAATAAATATTTTTATCAATACCGTCAATATATTTTGAAGTAATAATAAGTCTCGAGATGAGCACTATTTAGAATGAGCTTTCACTCCGTCGACACAACATTAACCTTAGATGGGAAACAGTCGAGCAGTTACCAACTATTAGGTCTCTTTACCTGTCGTGCAAATGGCAAATTGAACAACGCGATCGGTTGCAGGAAAGTGGTCATTTGAGCGTGTCTTTCCTTACTGTTTTCCAGACGACATGCTCTGCATAGCGACCCGACTCGCCGCGGTCCGACCTCGAACTAGGTTCGCCGGTCGCAATATTCGGCACGGCGACCCGACTCGCCGCAGTCCGACCTCAAACTAGGTTCGCCGGTCGCAATATTCTGCACGGCGACTCGACTCGCCGCGGTCCAACCTCGAACTAGGTTCGCCGGTTGCAACATTCTGCACGGCGACCGGACTCGCCGCGATCCAACCTCAAACTGGGTTCGCCGGTCGCATATATTGCACGGCGACCGGACTCGCCGCGATCCGACCTCAAACTGGGTTCGCCGGTAGCAAAATTCTGCACGGCGACTCGACTCGCCGCGGTCCGACCTCGAACTAGATGTAGGTGGGGCAGTGCTCGAGGCTGGTGGCGCATGCGTCGCAGACGGTCGCGTCCCTAGTGTTGACCAGGGTGCAGGCGGGGCACTCGCGGCCACCAGAAGTCAGCGGCTGGATCTCGGGGCCCCTCTTCGACTTGCCGCACATCTCGCACGCCTGCAGCGAGCCCCCGTTCAGATACGTGCACGTGGCGCACTGCCACTTGTCCGCCCCCGCAGCACCCGCTCGCTCCTTCTCTCTCTCTCTCTCCCTCTCTCTCTCGCCGTGGTGGGAGGAGCGACTGACGGACCGCTCGCGATCTCCGTTCAGATGCTGTCTCGGCGGCGAACGGCGCATGTGGTCCGGCTCGTCCAAGGTAACCACCAACTGCTTGAGGTCGTAGCACGCCGGTTGTGCGGAGGGCGCTGGAATATTAAACGATTTTAATGTTATTCCAGGTCAATTTTTTTTTAGTACATTGCTACAAGCGGCGGTCCGGTAACTGTTATGGGACAAACTGAGACTCAAATTTTAAGAAATATCTAAAAATAATCTCAAAAGTTTATAGTACATTTTGAAATTGATCTTTTGATATTACTCATTCCTAAATCTCTAAAAGGAAACAGAAACGAATTCATATTTTGATAACGTTTAATAATGCGGATACTAACTTGTGCCAGTTTTGAGAGCCTGTGCCGCTTTATGCACGCCATTGTCCAACGGTTTGGTCCTTGGCGGCTTGTCCGTCTCGAGCGGTTTCGTCTGTCTCTTCGCCTTTTTCACCTCGGCCGCGCCCGGAGCGGCGCCGTTGACGGAGCCCTGCTGCTTTATCGCCTCCTTCCTGTCCTTTATATCCTTCTTAGTCAGCAGTTTGACCTTGTCCGGCGCCACTTTGGCGGGGACCAGGCCGTCCGCCACCGGGTTGCCGACGGGTTCAGTCGTGTGCTTCCTCGTTCGTTTCTCGTCGCTCTGCTGCCTCTTCGCCTGCCTAGCCCTCTTTGACTCCTGCTCCTGCTTTAGCCTCATGAGATTCTCGTTCACTTTGGCCGTTCTGAACATCTCCTCGTCGTAGGTGCGGTCGAGGTTCAGCGCCTGCAGTCCGTCCTCCAGGTCTAAGGTCGTCGGCTGGTACTTTGACCTCCGCTCTTCACGGTCCAGCCTGTCCAGCGTCCTGGAATCCCTGTCCAGGGACTGAGAGAAGCCGCTCCTGCTGTCAGCGCCCTGCTCCTTGCTCGACAGATTCCTGAACACGTAGTCCCAGCTCTCGTACGTGCCCATTCCATCCTCCCTGGCCTTGCTCAATGCCGGCTGCGTGTCTGACCTTGGTAGGCTGGGCAAGGTCACATCACTAAAGCCGGACCTGGATGACGCCCTCTTACCGTCCTCCCGCTGCCTACTGCTCTTCTTATTGCCTCTCTCTTCGTCCCTGTGCCTCTCAAACTTGCCATTCTCGTAAGCCGACGGGGCGTCCAGTTCGATTAGCTGCGCCGTGGGCACGGTTGGGACTAGAGGGTACCTGTATTGCTGCATTGGCGGGTAACCGTTGACGGGTATGTTGTTCGCGTGTTTGATTGGCGCGTACACAGGCGTCGGGATCATGTACGGGGGCTGAACCGGGTAGTAATACGGTATAGCACCGTACTGGGTCATCATCGACACGGGGTTGCAGGGCGGCACCGACGCGGTGTCGTTGATGTGCTGATGGGGGATGGGGTACATCATGTGAGGGGGCATCATGTACGAGGGGTGCATAATGGGCGTAATAGGTTCCTCTAACGGCGACGCGTCGGCGCACAAATGATTGCACGGAGGCCCAGCGATTGAGTTGTACCGCAGGTCGGCCAGTCTGCCACGGTGGCTCTCGGCGGTCACCGACACCGGTATATTCGAGTAGATGTCCGATTCTGAAAAGGTGACCAAGAAAATCGGTCAATGCCGCAGTCAAACAGCCTAAAGGCAAAATAAAATAAGCCGCGAAATATTTTGACAAAAAATATTTTATCACGCGCGCAAGCTTAGCGGCGTGCGTGTGTGCATCCGTAAAGCTGTGGGTGTGTGCGTGCGTGAGCGCAGTCGTGCATATGCTTTATTATCTTATTCAAAAATAATAAATACGTTTGGTCGTTTCACAAATATTTGACCAATATCGTGGACATTTTGTAATGGAAGTAATAAACTTTATTATGTATAATTAATTATCGTTATTATAACGTATATAATAAAAATAATTTATCTAAAAATTAACTTCGAAAATAGTTCTATGTTTACTTCTCGCAACTGATAATTACCAAAAATAAATGAAATCACATATCCGTTACTTTTGTATCGCACTGAGAAAAATGATTCGAAGAATGATTTTTATATGAAGATAAATAATCGAGTTAGCGCATAAATGACAAGTTTCGGAGGACGTAGCAATGCGTACATAGTATGCAGGGTTGCTTAAATATTATCTACTAGCGACCCGCCCCGGCTTCGCACGCGGCTACATTATATTATACATATAAACCTTCATCTTGAATCGCTCTATCAAGAAAAAAAACCCGCATCAAGATCCGTTGCGTAGTTTTTAATAATCCAAGCATATATAGGGACAGACAGACAACGGGACGACTTGGTTTTATACTACGCAGAGAAGTGTGTGTGTTTACGTTTACCGTCAGTGTATTTATTTTATACTATGTAGAGAAGTGTGTGTGTGTGTTTACGTTTACCGTCAGTGTATCCAGCCAATGCCGAGGCCGCGGCCCGCGCTGAGCCAGCCTGAGCGGCCCTCTGCCGGGCCACGTCTGCCCAGCTGACGCGTACACCCTTGCCGACCACCTCCTCCCACACTTGTGACATTATCTGTCAAACACACCGCACGTTTAGACCACGGATGAGAACTTACGATGAATTTTCTTCCTAAATTTGGGAAGAAAAAGTATATAAAGAAGTTTTATGAGGTAAATTCAAAGCTGCGTAAATGGTTTGAAATTAGTAAATTTTAGTACTTTTTTTAATTGCTTTAATTGCTTTAAAAATGACTCATGTCCATGCTGCGCGGCATTTAAAAATTATTCCGCTTTACATCATATGACATATATAAGTAATTATGACAGATGATATAGAGAACGTGTAATATGGAAAGAGATAGCAGTATATAGAATTGCAATCTAATTACACCAATATGGTGTAAATTGAGTGTCTCAGTTTCGGTGCGGAGTGTCATAATATTTACCTCGTATTTGTATATAATATCACTGCTCAGAGCAAACCGCGGGAAAAGAGCCGCTGCTGGCACTTCGGTTTGCCTCCGTCGGATCAATGCCATACCAATTATTAACAAAAACTAATAAATTATAAATAAATATTTTAGGACACATTTTTACACAACGCTCTCTAGTCCCAAACTAAGCAACGCTTGTGCTGGGTACTAGATATCCGATAAGCATACTTAAACATACCTTTCTTTTGAAAATAAATGCATGTGATACATATATAAACACCATGTTCGCCACACAATATTTTTCCAGTAGCGGGGATCGAACCCGCACCCTCTGGCGCAGGAGGCAGGTACACGACCCACTACGCCATTCGGGACGTCAATAGCGCGTATACAATAACCATTTAAGCAGAAGCATTTGATCGGTGGCGCTCTCAACCGGTTCAATGACCTATTAAGCAGTGATCAGTGGCGCCCTCACCCGGTTCAATGACCTATTAAGCAGTGATCAGTGGCGCCCTCACCCGGTTCAATGACCTAATAAGCAATGATCAGTGGTGCACTCACCCGGTTCAATGACCTATTAAGCAGTGCTCAGTGGCGCCCTCACCTGGCACTCGCAGTGGGCTATCAGGGCGTCGCGCGATACCGCCGCCACCATGTCGGGGCAGGCGGGGCCCTCGAGCAGCAACCGCCCAGCGTACCGCTCGTCCGGCCGGTAGCCCATCGCCTGCAGCAGGGTCTCCGCCCCAACCATGTTCGCTTCCACCTCGTGCTTGTAGAAGCCCGAGTACAGCTGACGCGGAGAAGAACACATAATATAAAAAGCGCCTCCCTTGAACACGTACCGTTAAATTAGATTTGAAAAGCGCCAGATTAAAGTTACTCCGCGATTTCAGCGAAAGTGCCATCGAGTGTACCTATCGCGTACCAAAACTAACCAATGTTATAACACCAATCTATAAAAATCTATGTTCACGATACCCAATGACATAGCTCTTAACCATTATGCAGAAACTAATATGGGCGGTGAGACAAAAAGTGATTTAGATACGATGTGAAAGAGAGGACAATACTCTCCGTTCGCCCCAAACTAATTAAATCTGATTTACCGATGTTTATTTAAAAATAAAATAAAAAACTTATAAATGGTCTGTATTAGGGTCTGATGGTCTGTATTAGGGTATGATCTGATGAAAACTACTTTACGGATTTTATCGCGTTTTTTAAAAAACGCGATAAAATCCGTAAAGTAGTTTCATTTAATATGTATAATATTCGCGTAAAATCAAGAAAACAATATGCTCTGTATTGTTATTACTATAAAGAAAAAAATGGGTGCGTGTAATTATGTACGCGCATGAAGTTATACTTCTTTGGCATCATTAAAAAAAAGTTTTTGAATGCATGCAAATAATTAATTACAATAAAACAATAAAAAGACCTGAAAAGGATATAAATAATAAAATTATGAAAGCGCCATCTACATTCTTTAATGAGAACTGAAACGGCCGAATGTGATTGAGAACATGCTGCCATCTATAATAAACAGTTTAGCGGGCAGCTTCAAAGGTGTGTACTTTTGTGTTACAGTGATGCGAGCGCATCTTAAAATTTCACTCTTATCATTTTTTCATAACACACTTCAAACTAACGTATAACTTCAAAAAAAAACAAATTCGAAGTGGTTCATACTCACCCTGATGGCCTTGTACTCCTTGCGCCATGGCTGCGCCAGCAGGTTCCCCGCGTACCGAGCCAGCGCCGCCCAGCCGATGCCGGCGCGGTACGCGCTAAACTCGGGCAGCTCGTTTATGGTCCGCTGAAAGACCTTCGCGGACTCCGTGAGGCCGAATTTGCACTCGTGCGGCACCAGCGACAGGTACTCTATGATGTAGCCTGATGACACGACAAGTTGCTACTGTTCAAACAAATCAAATTCACTCAACGTCAGTTCAGTTGATGTTCAGTTGAAACAAGTTATTTCACCAGCATCAATTTGATTACTTTCGATTTGTATGCAGCAAATATTATAAACTTAGCACATCTGTAACTCAAGGCCTGCAAAATAAAGACAGTTCATTTTTGCGGAATGTAAATCATTCAATCATCAAATAATCAAATTTGCGGAATATAAATAAAATCCTTTTTGTAAGCTGAGTCCATTAGAAAAAATATATAAATAAATACCTCAATCATAAGAAGATTGGAACAGAAACATAGAAACGAAAGAAAAGAAACTACTTCAATGGCTAACAAATGTATCACTGAGTTTGGAATCTCCTTTTTTCTAAAGATTTGCTTGGTAAACTACATACTCTATATTTTTGCAAATTATGTAAAAGACACATGGATTTCTTGTATTGTAGAAGGGTGTTAAATTTTTTCTCAACTTTTTTTTGCTATTACAAAACTGCACTGCCATCACGAAAGAGCGGTTTCCATTTATGATATCTTTTAAGTTGATTGCAACAAAATGGAACATGTAGTTGTATAACCATATTGAATTTGGGAATACATCATCTGATTGAAGTCTGTGATGATGACATGTGAGTACAAAATATTCTAATAACACCACAGATAATTTATTCCTTAAGCATAGCAAAATAACTAATGTCCATAAATTAGTTTTATTATATTGTATATTTCAATAAATAAAAAATTAGTCACAACACAATGCCATAGGATGTACCCAACATATTGAATTGAAAGAGTTCTACCAAATATACTTCTACTTCTATTGAATGTAATGGACTCGAATTGGCTTTATAATTTCCACTTGTGTTACTTATTTTTATTTTTTTATGCAAAAAGTTGTCAAACGAGCAGACGGTTCACCTGATGTTAAGTGAATACCGCCGTCCATGGACATCTGCCACACCCGAGGGTTACAGAGGTGTTGACAACCTTTTGAAAATTGGGCTCCGGCTACCTAACTCATCAGACGAAAAGCGAAAGTATTTGTCATACTTCCACTTTATGCTGGTCTTCTGTGAGGTCGTGGTACTTACCCAGATGGGCCTGCCCATTCATGCAACAGCCGAGGCTGCAACGTGGCCCTACCACCATACGGATACTTATATAAGCGATTTGTGAAATGGATACAATACTACATGAATTGTTAAGAATAGTTTACACTATTATAGGTAGTAGGAAAATGTGTAATAATTATTTTACATATTTTAGATACATAATCTAACTCAAAGAAAAGCAGATTCCTGCAAAACTAGAATTAACTACAGTGCTGCACTTTGGAAGTGCTATCCATTTAGTTAGTGTTGATACAGGTATTAAAATGAGCCTGACTGAATATGGAATAAAAATGCCTGGAGATGGAACACAATTTGCTTGCACAGCAAACAAAAATAATGTCTGACTAACAACATTGTGATTGTCTTAATCTGGACCATTTAATTACCTTCTAATTTTTTCTTCTGCAAGAGCTTTTCTGGACTGTCGTCTGTTTCCAAATAACTGTAATGTGTATCTTCTATTCGTCGCCATAGCGCCGGAAGACGGTCACGCAACACTGCGTCTCCCATGCCCACCACACAAGTCATAACCATCACCGGGATAACAGTTTATGTTATAAATGCTGAAACAATATGTGCTTTAAATAATAGTATAAATGACACTCGTGTTGTATAAGCTGTGATTATAATTGCGATACCTACAAGGAGCAAGTCTGAATCAAAAATTTATCATGTCAAAAAATAAACAATATTTATTGACAGGTTGGATAATATACACAATTACAGTAACAATAACAAAACAATGTGTTATCAATGAAAACAATTTCACATTTAATAAATATGAAACTGAGAAGCTAACATGATATCCATGAATCATCCATCAAGTTCAATAAACTTATGACTTATAAAGTATAACAAAGTTTTTAAACACTATTCAAAATCACCTGTTTTATCATACCAAACATATTGCTTCATTATTACATATTTGTTAGGGATACAGAATTAAGTGAAAAAATTTAGAGATTATTATTGGTCTAGGTTTTTTTATGTAATTATTAAAATTTAATAAACATCAACAATGCAACATTTTACATATATGTATAAATACATAAATGAATAATTGGAATACAATCATCTTGTAACTTGTATCTTGTATTAACTGATGTTTTTGCTTTCAATCCCGAGGCTATTAAAGCTTCATCTGACGTAGAACCGGTAGGCTAGCCAGAACCCACGGATTTGGGTATACAATGATTAGTTACAAATACAATCATAAGTTTTTAGATATTATAATGCAATTAGAATACTTTCAGAATAATTCTACTACTACAAGCCATTTAATTAACAATAACATGGTAAATCAGTGATGATGTTTATAATATAAAGTAAAAAAATTGTATTTGTGAAAAAATGATTAAAACTTTTTAAAGTTAATCTAGATATCTATTTTAAAATTAAAGTTTTAATATTACTATGAAAATTCGGCAACATGACAGATTATGTGCCACACTATAATCTATAATTTCTAGATAAGATAAACAGTTACAACTAAAATCAATTATATTAGTGAATCATTACACTATGCAATAAATATCTCATTAAAATTTTGATCATTCGAATAGTGATAAACATGTATTAGTAGTATAAATTGAGTGTTGAATATAACTATAATTACCATATTTGAAATTATCCAAGATTTATTAAGTTCATAAATTATTTATTGTAATCATCCCATCCATCCAACAGTACTCCGTTACCAATTTTGAAAAGCTAAAGAAACAAAGAAGTGTGGTAATTAACCATACGGAACTCACCATACAGGAACATTCTTTTCCTAGGTGTCAAAATATAGTCCTATGCACCGAATGTAGAACGAGCGGACAAAAATAGTTCACCCAAAATAACAAGAGGTAGTAAACGATCCAAGACCTAATAAATTTGAATTCCTTACATACTCATTCATAGAATTTTTCTCTTAATCGCCGGTAAATATTAAATTTGATGTGATATCAGTAAATAAATGGTAAAACAAAATTGAGACTTTTGTTTTGACGTTTCCTCCATAATACTTCAAGGCTGAGCAACAGACAAAAAAATGAAATAAGTATAGAATACAGATTTTAATTTTAAATATGTCTAATTTAATTTAATTTTTTTAAAGCGTACTACACAGCATTGTCGGAAGAATTACACAGACGACCCACTGACTCAAGTGAGAACATCAAATTTGGCACACGATGATAATACAAACAATGATACCGTTCGTTCCGGTGCATCGAAGCGGCCCTGTAAGCAAGAGAGTTGAAAAAACAAATAAATGAATTATTTTCTAAAACAAGTAAAATAACTAAAAAAAACTTAAAACCATCTTCATTATTTTCTACTAATATCTACGAAAATATTCAAGTTATCTGAGAAAATAACAATTATAACATGACATAAGGGAATCAAATAATAAATAAATAAATATTTTAGGACACATTTTTACACAGTGTTCTCTAGTCCAAAACTAAGCAACGCTTGTACTATAAGTACTAGATTAATTATACATACTTAGACATACTTTTTTGTAAATAAATACATATTATACGTATATAAACACCCAGGCACTAGAAAAATACTATGTTCTTCACACAATATTTTTCAAGTAGTGGGGATCCAAACCACACCCCCTCGCGCAGGAGGCTACCCACTATACCATTCGGGTCGTCGAATCAAAAATGCCTCACACACGCGATTTATGGATTGGCGGAAATATGGATGAAACAAATACTCGCGTATGTCATCAAGGGACATATACCTGCATTGTGCAAATGAAATTTGCGTTATAGTGTCATTTTACTAGACGCTTTTATGACGCCAGACGAGGTAAGAGCAATCCTACGATATCGATCGTCGATAGGGATCCTAGGGATGTCGCTGGTGAATAGAGAATTGAGGGTCGGGGAAAGTACCGTTTGGGCTATATCCAATCTCCAGAAGCAGCGGTAGGATAGGGCGCCATCTACTTGAAATCAGAATTGACAATTCGACAAACTTGCTTGCGAATTTAACTTATAAATGAAGCCGCAGAAGTAACCACACGCGATCCCTTTGTGAGTCATAAGAATGGCGATCCATAAGGCGGTACACTTGAAGAATGATTGAGTGTACAACACTAAGACTAAAGCCAGTTGGCTTTAGTGTCATACACAGTCTTGACTTTAGTGATCTCAAGTAAGTTAAATATTAATTTAACGATTAACGCTATTTAAGATAGAGAAAGACTAATATGCTCTTAATTTGATGCAAAGTCTTGGGACTTATTTGTCTTAGGGATACCAATGACAAAAGCTTCCTTTTACTTATTAGGGAAAAAGCATCCGCCAGATTTAATAATATTTTTATAACACTTTAATAAGGCGGATAAAACAAAAATACTAAATTCATAATATTAAAATGTACTTAATCTATTATTAATTCCTCTTATACTTTAATTCTGTACGAGGTAATTAAGCCTATATGTATTTTAGCGATCTCTTCAGTCTTTGCGAAGGCTCACGAAAAAGCGCCCAGTTCGAATTTGGAAAAGGCTTATATAGGGGGCTAGAATACCATATAGGAGCACTCTATTTCCTGGTGTTGTATTATGCTCTGGATCTGTAAAGTCAGCGTATGAAAGTAATATACACACTGGAGTAAGTGTAGCACTCAAACAGCGCCTCTACGTCAGCTTTCAATAAAATTTCTCAGGTAAATTTAGAATCTTTGCAGTGTGTGTCCAAATGATTAGTCACTATTAGAATACGAGTAGTGTATGTATAATAGCTCTCTCTAATAGAGTCTTACCTGATGGCTTGCAAATGCGATACCAGTCTTTTACGAAATAATATGCTCCCTTTTTGAAGGTTCCCATGTCTTGATATAAAAATTATTTCGCACGTTAAAAAAAGATATTTGATTTGTAGTTTAATGGGATTACATTGAAAGGTAGGGCTGTTAAGTTCGTATCAGCTTGTGAAGAGTACAACTTTAACAGGTCACTTACAGTTTTAGATCTGACTCTTTTTTTGTTTTAAAAAAAAGCATTTCATAAACACTTGTCAATATTACAAATACGTTTTCTTCATCTTCTTTCTTTCTTAATCTTTCGATTTTACAACAGAAATGGTTAAATTCATATTGTTTATGGATTTAATGCGCCAAGAAGAAATAAATAACTTTTATGAGGTAGAAAATATTTACTATTTATTATGGTATTAAGATAAGTTAACGAGACTAAGTAATTGAAATGTTCAATCATCATCATCATCATCATTTCAGCCTGTTTGAGTCCACTGCTGAACATAGGCCTCCCCCACAGACTGCCATGAAGCACGATCCTGAGCCACCTGCATCCATCGACTTCCCGCACATTTGCACAGGTCATCACTCCATCTAGTGGGGGGTCGTCCTACACTGCGATGGCCAGTACGAAATGTTCAATAATAATGGTTATTTTATTATGATACTTTTAATTTTCTTTTTATTGCTGTAGGCATGCCAAAAACATCGAGACTATTATAAAGGGTATCCACGAAATTATCATCCCTTGACGTATTTCCAAGAACCTGAGTACAAAGGTCAATGTCCTCCAGAAATGTCCCCGTAAGTGATTTTGATAATTTTTAGGGTTCCGTGCCGAAAGGGCAAAAGGGGACCCTATTACTAAGAGTCCGCTGTCTGTCCGTCTGTCACCTATTTCCGTTGCCGCTATAATAACAAATACCAAAAACAGAATAAAAAGTATGTAAGTGAGGCTCCCATACAAGAGACATGATTTTTTTGCCATTTTCACATTTCCACATTTCTCACAAATATTTAATCGACAGAGTAACGTATACTTTTTTCTCATCTGTAATAACATTTGTTGTTATAGCGGCAACAGAACTACATCATCTGTGAAAATTTCAACTGTCTATCACGGTTTATGAGATACAGCTTGGTGACAGACGGACAGACAGACAGATACAGACAGATACAGCTGAGTCTTAGTAATAGGGTCCCGTTACCCGTTTTACCCTTTTTGGGTACCTAAAACACCTACCCTAAAAGTAAAGACGTCATTTTTTTTAGTTACGCTATTAAATTATTTATTTTCGCCTAATGAGACAAAATTAATTCGATTTCTCGTTTGCAGCGTGTATTTAGATTATCCATTTTACCACGTGAAATACAAAGCACCAGCTATTTTACCTCATTCCGTTGGGCGCACTTCTGGCATACCACCACTACCGGATCGAAGTCTAATTGGACGTTTTAACAGAGCTTCTTGTAAAGCTTATATTAGATAATTTTTATATTTGATTGTATAGAACGAGCAAAAGGGTTTCCTGTTCAGTTATTAGAACGTATTTTTAATTTTAATTGTGTGAAATATATTCTTATATACTTGTAAAACTTTAATATACGACTCTTACTTAATATTTTATTTATTTGATTGTTACCAATCTTGGTGCATAAAGGCGAAGTACCACTGAATTATTACACTACTTTTGTCACGAAAGAAAAGTAAACTATTATACATGTGCCACTGCTGGGAAAAGGCCACCTTTGCACAGAGAGTATCAGGGCATAGTCCACCACGCGGCCCCACTGCGGATTGGCGGACTTTGCAGTTGGCACTCGCAAACTAACAAATAACACACGAGATACTTCTTGTACAGGCGCATGTATCTTATGAACCTTTACATGATCTTGAAACTGAATTCGATTTTAGAAAAATAGCGTATATCTATGAGTGATTATCCAAATTGTATATCTCGCCTTATGCCACAAATGCAGAAAATTGTTATTCGTTTGTTCGCTCTATTTTGCCTACAATACTGCCATACTACAATGTACTAGATAAAACGTCAAATTGAAAGTTGTCAAATAATTTAATATATTTATGACATCAGCTGTCCGAGTTTAAAATTATTGTGTATAATGGGTTTCTATTGTTAAATCGTAGCGTTATATTATGGATATCCTTTTTATTGATAACGGGAGGCAAGATGAGATCGAAACTTTTTATGAAGTATGTAAACAATTTCTAACATTACTTATGAATAGTATCCAATGATATTTTAATAAAAATAACGAATGTCCATACAACGCAGTTAAAAATGGTTCCGCTTTACACTATTATATGACTGCAATGATTATTACATACAAATATGAGGTAGATATGACACTAGCGCACCGAAACTGAGGCACTCAAATTACGCCAATTGGAGTAAAAATTGCAATTCTATAGACTGCTATATCTTTCCGTATCATAATTATGTTCTATATGAAAGCATTTTTGTTTGTTATATTGTGGCCTCATGTGACAGGCAGCTATTAAAACATCTCGAGAGCCGGAGACTAAAAAGACATCAACGAGTGAAATGAAAAAATCGTTTTGTATTTTTCTTTTACTATTCATATCCATTAAAACTAACACGCTGGTGGGAATGTTGATCCATGTGTTTCTAATTTTATTGTTAACATCTGTTCCTAGAACAACAACAAATGAATATCATTTGATGACTCCGTGGCGCAGTTATCAAGGTATTGGGCTCGGCATTGGGCGTCGTGGGTTCGATTCCCACACGGGACAAGTATTTGTGTGACCCACAGATTTGTTTGTCCGCGTCAAATTTATGTTTGTATTACAAGATAATGTTATCTCACTGTAAGGGCAACGTTTGTTTTATAAAAAAAAGAACAAAAAAAGGGTATGTAAGTTACAATTTTATTTCTTTTTTTACTTCTAATTGATATTCATTTTGAAATGAATATTTGTTATTTTGAACTGAAAAATTTTTGTAGGTACCACTTGTATTTGTATATAATATCATTGATCTGCACTCATGAATAGCGATAGCATAAGTTTCGAACCTATTACTTATTATTTTGCTTGCCGTATAATGTAAAAATAGATGTATAATACAGAATGTTTTGTTGTCGTGTGAAAAGTTAAACATTTTATGCACAGGCTTGCCAGCGTCATAGGGATTACTACAAAGGCTATGCTAACTCCCGCCATCCCCTCAGTTACTTCTACGAACCGGTTTACATGTGGCAGTGCCCTCCAGAAATGACACCGTATGTTAAATAAAATTACTTTTTTACATCGCTTACCTCACTCATCTGTTAGCTCATAATTAAATTTATATATTGTTACGCAATTAAAATCGAGAAAAATTTATGGCTTCATGTTAACTGCAGTCAAAACCATAATTTACAGCACTAGAAAATTATCAGTATAAGCTGGTACCTCTTTTTAACTCACTCGGGTAGACAGAGATAACTACTAATAATGTGATTATTGGTTACCTATCTCATATTTGTGAGACCGTGAACTTTGACACAAGTAACCGAGAAAATGGTCACATTTACACCACCGGATTTTAAAATAGAAAGCGTTGATGGAAATTAAAGACTATTATGGACTTGTTCTGATGAGTTATCTTAACCAATTTCATTGTACAATAATATTGCAAACCCTTATTCTGAATCGATTTCCTTTTAGCACTTACCTGGGATTCCCGTCAAGGCACGTAAAGTATAAACAGCCAGCGGTGTTGCCCAGCGAGAGAGGCCGAACAAGCGGCTTCCCAGCGTTACCTAATCGAACTCTTGCTGGTCGCCACAACAAAGCCGCTTGCAAAGCATTCGTCAGATAATACATATTGTAAACTCCCCCCATATTTCAAAGAATTTTCAAAATTAATGTTCAAATTAAAAATAAATCCAAAAGAATTATTTGGATGTTATCGAGTTCCCCATACATGATACAACACGTTATTTTAACTTTTGTAATAATGTGAGTGTAACATTAAAAAAAAAGACTACGATCAATTTTTAATATTTTTTTTTATTTGTAACAATAAATATATAAAACTTCAAGGTCAACTTAAAATTTAGTTATTATTTAGACCTGTGAATGTATAATATGATAAAAATTATAATTACGAAACAAAACATCTATGTTAATATAACTTAACTCACCAAAAATTTTGTGCCTTAAAATTAAACATTTTTGTGAAAATGCTGATGTCGGATAAGTGATTTCAAATGTTTCGAGAGTAGATCATGAAGATATTATTAATTGTGAAATTTGGAGGGAGGAGCTGAAGTTTGACGAAGATACAATTTATTTTTTATTATATATGATTCAATAACATTTGTATCATTACTGAATAATAACCGCTTTATTATTATCCCTTTATGGCCTATTTGCAATTGAACATGTCAAAGTAAGAAAAAAAAGTTAGAAACAAGGTTAAACTTTGAAAAAGTTTTGAAAGAGGTCATGACCTCCAAGAACCCATTTTTAGATCTAAATATATATATATATTTATGTGACATAGTCGCAAACGAGTTGGCGGTTCACCTGATGTTAAGCGATAACTGTCGCCCATGGACATTTGCAACACCCGTAGTGTTGCAGATGCGTTGCCACCTTGTTTCTGTGAGCTTGTAGTACTAACCCAGCCGGACCTGCCCATTCGTGCAACAGCAGACACGGTTGCGTGGCCCTACCACCGTTAAGTTTCATACTATTTTTTTTGCAAACATTACCTTAGTAATAAATGTTAGATAACTGGCATATATAGCACATACATTTTGAATATATTTATTTAGTAACCATTTCTTTTTTTTTTTTTTTTTTTTGTGACGTGTAGTTTGCTGTTAGCCCGGCGGCTTTGACAGCTTCGGCGGAAGAGGTCCGCGGGCAGACGACCCACGGACCCGGGAGAACAACGTAGCTGGTGCACGACGACGACAAGAAAACGCCGTCCACTCCGCTGCACTCCGCAACACCCTTCTAACGAAAGATGGACAATCGACTAACAGGGGGGGCACGACACGATCCAAGGGCCCAATTAGTAACCAATTCTACTGAGATTGAAATGGGGAGAACAAAACGAACAAGAAGCATCTTATTATAAGAGTTCACCGCCGCTTCAGAATAAAGATGGAAAGAATAGATCACCAGTAAACTCAGGTGTCGCGCAAAACGCAAAACTTAACTTCACGCCCGGTTACTTCTTATTCCAATCAAGTAACATCACAAGAAGTCGACAAAGTTAGCGCAGTTAAAGAGGTTTTATGTTACTTTGCTTCATTATTTTATTTTGGACAATTACAATCCTAATTGTAACTTAACGTTTTTATCGCAACCTATATGATATCTATAATCGAAAATAGAAGGAGGAGTGAAACTCGGGTATGCGTGTCATAATGATTTTAAACTCATTCAAACCAATGCCGCCACTACTGACCAGATTGATTTCTTCAAGTATCTGAAAATATTATGGATTGTTTAGGAACATGATTATAATACAGTGTTACAGTTTTAATAGATGCTTTTTTATCATATAGTAAAAAGTAAATTAACAGCCTATAAATGTCCCACTACTTGGCAAAGGCCTCCTCAGTACAGACGGTATCAGGGCATAGTCCACCACGCGGCCATGCGGATGGGCGGACTTCACATATATTCGAACATTTTTTTTTTCTTATTATTTCGAAAACATGCTGGTTTCCTCATCATGTTTTCCTTCACCGCTGAACACACGATAATTCAGCAATTAAAATTAACAATTGCATCGGTACCGGCACCGGGGATCGAACTCTGGTTGCTCGAGTATATTGAATTAAAAGGGAGCGCCCGGACAATGAGCTATCACGGCTCTTGGATATATAGGTAAGGTAAGGTAACAGCCGAAACATGTCCCACTGCTGGGCAAAGGCCTCCTCTATACAGAGGGTATCAGGGCATAGTCCACCACGCGACCCCACTGCGGATTGGTGGACTTCACATATTTTCGAAATATACATTTTTTTTTGTTATTATTTCGAAAATATGCAGGTTTCCTCACGATGTTTTCCTTCACCGCGGAGCACGTGATAATTCAGCACTTGAAAGTTAAAAACTTCATTGGTGCCGGCACCGGGGATCGAACTCAGGTTGCTCGAGTATATATTGAATTAAGGCGAGCGCCCGGACACAGAGCTATCACGGCTTGGATATATATTGAGTAAAAATAAACTTACAACGTTCGCAATTTTATTTTTTGAATCGTCATCGAGCAAATGACCGCGTCTTGCAGCACCCGTGAGACGATCAACAATTTCGCTAATATCCCTCGAAGATATTTGGTTATCTTCGTCCAAATCTGCATGTTAATTATATGTAAATTAAAAGACAATTTCGTGCTTGCACCATTTTTTTGCAGTAATTAAAAATTGTTAAGTTATAATCGGGAAGAATGTATAGGAAGTTTAACGCATGTGGAAGAGCGAATAATGTTGAGTTGGAAACTGTAGGCGACAGCCCACAATTACGTTATATCGATAGTAGTTTTTTGACAATGAATAAGTAGGTAAGTGTAATCCTTCGTTCGAATCAAATCAAAAATTAATTTATTCAAATAGACGCTTGCGCGTTCTTATTAATCGTCAAATATTACATAAAACATTATGTATATAGGTTCGTAAGGTACCATCTATTGAATAAACATATTTGACTTTGACTTTGATAACAGATAAGAATGACTACGCGCATTTCCATGAACACTTACGCTATAGTTTATCCAAAGTAATTCATAGATGGAGAGGTAAATAAGGGCTTCTGAATCGATTTAGGATCTGATCTATTTGATTGCACTAATAACTGTTAATCACTAAAGACTTTCATTGCACGATTAAATGAAAAAATGAATAAATGCATTTTTATATTCAATTTCGGAAATAAAGTTTGATTTCCATAACCCAATTTTAATTGGTCTCATACAGTTAAAAATGAAGAAGTCTTACCAAACACTCTAAATGCCCAAGCAGCTTTAACTTCTATGGGACATTCTGAACTCATCGCTGAACACAAGTCTAGTAAATCTTCGAAAGAGAAACAATCGTCTTCCTTAGAGGAGAATACGCGAAAGAGACGATCTTGGAATGGATTGTTCTGTAAACAGAGATATGCGATCTAGTAATTAGCCCTTCCTGTGTCACACCAACTTGCCATGATTTAATTTATACATATAGGTACAAAATAAACATTCACGTAGCAAATTATAAATTCTAAAAAATTTAATATTAATGTCCAATTTAACGACCGCATTACTTAGTTACCACACTTGACCATGATACAATACACGAAGCAACGAAGTTGTCGACATTATATTCTGCATTTATTTAAATTTATATGCTCTAACTATATATCTTAAGTTCTCTATTGATTGAGTTGGTGGCACAATCTATTGACTTCGGCGACTTAATAATACAGTAACGACAATCCCCTGATTTTGTTAATGCAAGCATGCCAATGCGCTTGACTCTGCTTACGGTTGAAAAGAAGAAGGAGAAGAAGCGTTTATTCACGGTCTAGTCACAATGGATGCATAAAAAACTTAGAAAATAATGTAACTGCACAGTTTATAAAATAATATTGGAAAAACTGAAAATAAAGCGCAGACATCAATAAATAAACACAGCAGAGCTGCGTTAAGTATTTAATTTACTTGTGTTTTGTCTGGTAATGTGGTAACCGGGACACACCCTCTTGAGTTGTATGCAATTTACCAGCAATATTTCCACTATCAATATCCACTAGAGTTGCGTTTGCCTGGTGGCGGTGGTACACTCTCATTAAAAACACTAATTTAAATATTAATTTAAAACGTCCTCCGAAATCATAGTTATAGGGAAAAGTATGAATAAAATATTTTGTACGTTTAAAATCGCAAGTATCCTGTAACAACAAAGAGAGGATGGACAGTGGTAGAGCCACGCAATATTCTTTACTGTTGCACGAAAAGGCAGTGCGTAGTAGAAGTGCCCCGACCTCACAGAACACTAGCGTGAAGTGGAGGTGTTACGCTTTTGGGTTTCGTTTGGTAAGTAAGGTATCCGGTGCCCACTTTATTTAAAGATGGCAACGCATCTGCAACCTAACGGGTGTTACAAAAGGGCGGCCGTAATCAGGTGAACCGCCAGCTCGTATGCTACCATCTCACATAAAAAATCCAAGAAGACATCGTCGCCATCACATACAAATTACCTGTAGTACATCAAATTTTTTCAAAATTAAATTTTTCTCAAATCTATGATGATAGTCCGCGTCCATTCTTACAGGATCGATAGAATAGAACTTTTTCATCAAACTGAAACAAAGAGCTGACATCACAGAAAATAAATTTACGACAATATTACCCGACTCCCAATAAGATGAGTAATGTTTTCAAAGCATCGACGTATGAGGTATCACTTGACAGGTTATTTTATTTCTAAAAGAGAGTGTAGTTTTATTTGCTAATTCATCGTTAGTCATATAATTAGCCTGGTTCTTTATTTTCAATAACTTATAAATAATTATATAATTTTTACAATTTAATGATAAGTCCCGTAGTTATGTGGGAAAATAATAAATATTCTAATTTTTATTAATAACATTACACCAAATCTCATATTGTTGTTAATAGCGCTAAAGTATATAATAATCCTTGAATTGTATTTTTTTTAATTGTATACGGTGAAAGAGGAAAGTTGTTAATAAAAAGAAGTGAGAAAGAGCTAATACAATAAATTAAAAGTTCTAGTTTGCATAAAGTATTACTTATTAATTTAACATAAATTTTATACCAACATTTGTTTCTATCAGTTACAAAGGAATATATTTTACTCACTAAAGTATTTCCCCTTTGTTTAAATACGTCAATGTAGTATAGTCCTCCAAAACATCTTCCGTTAGACCGGGATAAGATTGGCCCACTCCCATATCAGTGACGAGAATGTTAAACAATTAAATCTTTGTTTACTTTTAATAAATATAGCATACAGTGTTCGTCAAAATTGGCACAGCTCGATTTAATGACTTGGTAAGGAGATATCTTATCGGCAATTACTGCGGGTAAGTGTAGGTACTATACATTATAAAATTGGTTACAAAGATAACAACTGACATACTAATGTTGCTTTAAAAAGAAGATATTTCGTTATAATTAAACTTTTTCACTAAATAATGGAGAAGTTGGAACAATGATCAATGAAACCAAGTTAACATTTGCTTCAGGTTATCTGATTTTATCTGTATCGTAGAAGTGTTTTACAATTTCAATACGGATATTTAAAAAACCATTAGGCGTTCCGTCACTTCATCAGTACAGCCAAGACAATCTACATAGCTCAGAAAATCGGTAACGCGACAACGAGCCGACCGTAATATGGCTCCTAGAACCGATAGGGAAGAAAGGTACTCGAGTGGCAGACTCGTACTGACCATCGCAGCGTGAGATGACCCCCACTAGAAGTATTTACAGCCGGTGCATATGTGCCGTAAGTCGATGGATGCAGGTCGCTCAGGATCGTGCTTCGTGGCCGTCCGTGGGGGACATCTAGATCCAACAATGAACTTAAACAAGCTGAAAATGTAATGTCACGTTTTTGGGTTCCAATATGTGCAATGGTTATAATAGTAGTAGTACAGTAATGGAATGGAACGCTGAAGGATACGTACGAAGGATAAGTGCGTAATGTAAAAAAATAAAGGGTCGGATCAAGCTCGATGTTTCTTGGCCACAATTCCTGCGTTCAATTAAGCTTTAAAGCAAAAACATCGGGTGAAGTAAAAACAATCCTAATGAGCGTTACTGGACTTATTGTCGATTGTGTACTACTGTTTCCGTACTGTATTTGGTGCTGGTTATTAATCTTATTATACAAAATAACATTATAAGTTATATTAAAAACGCAAGATAATTTTCAAAAAAAAATAATTTATTGCTAATATATTATATCCGAGATCACACTCAGCGATAGTAAGGAGTTACATAGTAAATGTTCACTTAGTCAAGTTCACACTAAAAGTACAATTCAATTCGGCACATCATATACGAACGGTTGGATTTACACAACGTATACTATCATATAATAAAAACTAAGAAGTACCAGGTCAGTTTAAAGTGCAAAATCGATATGAAAATTATGTTAGTCAGTGCGATATAACGAAATAAACTATGAGAAACAATATAACAGACGGGAAGCACACGTTATGAACCAACTAAAAATAATTTTGAAGGCATAACTTTGTGACGTGTCACCATATGATGATTATCAAGCAATAATTCCTTGTTATGAAAAAAATAACGCTTTTTTTTAATTTTCCCCTTTAAGCTTATCGCGGATAATACTTTGTGTGAACGCTAAAGAAATAATTGTAAATAACGCAACTAAGCCATTTAGTAATACAGAGTTTAGTCCTTGGGGTTTAGAATACGCTTTGTCTTTCTCTCACTACACTTTAATGTACAGTCGCGAACAACGTTGTTATTCGATTTTCCAACCATATTTTCTTTGGATATTTCGTAGTTCTATTAAGCGATAACTATTTTGAAGTCGCCAGTACACGCGCAAAACTCGCAGAGACAACGTCAATGACCCGTTTTAAAGTTTTACGTGGCCGGTAACATTGCGCAAACACACACTTTAATCATAGATATTTTCATATTACATAAACGCTGGTTAAACACCAAAGCGATATCATTGACATAGACATCACAGAGAGTATAGAATAATGAATACAATTCGAATAAATAAACGACGCCACTACGTACTACGAGTCAATATATTAAATCGATACTGATACACTTATATTAACTATCGGCTGGTTTCATTATTCTATGTAGAGATAGATTTGGTTACTAGCAATAGGTATATGACATTAGCTCCGTAATACCAATTCCAATTTTAATATAATGCCTCCATCAAGGAATGACTTCATGATTCTGCCAATGTCAAGGTTGAATAAAACAGCTTTTGTACGGTAGGTAGACTATTACGCGGATCCAGTTGAGTTATCCGTAATACTTACGTCAAATTTCTCTCCAGTAACCAAATCTATCTGCAGACTGAACATTGAAACCGGCCGTATACGAACTAAATTACACTCGCACAACAGGTCACAACACTTGAATGACGTCACATCATCTCTTCGGGAAGTCGACGCTGTCGAAGCTTATCTGCCTCCTGGCGCGCATCTTAGCTGCCTCCTCGAAGGAGGGCATCGAGTTGGACTTGTATATGCCGACCTTGTCGAACACGCTCATACCGCTGCTACTGTTGCTATTGCTGTCTATGTTCACCAGCTTATCCTGAAGGATGTTCTTCGTGGCGCTCTTCGTCTCCTGCCTGAAGGAAACGCTAGAGCAGCTGTTCTCCTTGATCTGTGACGTCAGCGTCGCCGGCGGCTGCCTGCCCTTCAACTGCTGGTACGCCGTGGCGGATATGTAGCCGGAGAGCTTGGCCGGATCGCTGGCCAGCTTCGCCTGCTCCTCCTGGTAGCACTCCTCGATGCTGCGGCCCTGGATGATCGCGAACACGTACTGGCGCGCCAATCTGTAAATGGCACAATTCGGATTGTCTGATTGTTCCTATGTACATTTAGATCTTTAAAACAACGGATCTTGGCGCGGTTTTTTTACTAGATAAGAAAGTTTATATATATATAATACATTGCACCCGTGCAAAGCCGGGGCGGGTCGCTAGTCTCCGATAAAGCACAACGACACGGAACTTACAATATTTTGCATTCCGCTTCGTGCTCTCGTACGGAACGGACGTCTCTCTAAGACGGAGGGCTCATGCCACCCGAATTAGACGCTACTCGCAACTTCGGTTGCAAATTAAATCTTTGTGCAAGCAGTGCTGCAGTTTAGTGGTAGTGTAGTGTTGTGCTCGTAGGCAGGTTCCTGTTCTGTAAGTAGAATTCTATACACACTTCTCGCCTCAGAGGCGGCATTGTTTTATTTAATAACTGTGTGCTTGTTGCGATAGGCGACAGCTAGGTACCCACCCTAGCGCACCTAAAGCGCAGGTGAAATAGTTGTTAGTTTTAGGCACACACCTCCCTGCCGCAAGGTGGGGAGGCCTATTTAGAAACTACACGCCGGCGGGGCGCAAGCCCCAAAGGTTCAAGCGCCGTTATGGGTTCCCTCTTAGAGGAATTCATTCGCGAACGATGCCCCGAAATGTGGCGCAGCTTTCTCGCCTTCGCCGCGGAGAAACGCCGCGTCGTCGAATACGCCAGCGACAACCCGGCTTCACCGGCAGTCGCCTCGCCGCCATCTCCGATGCCCTCTGCGCCAGCTAATGAGTCGCCTTCTGCGACACTAGTAACGCCCGTCGCGTCGACTTCCGCCGCCGCGAACGAACCCAACGCGCCTTCCGCGCAACCAATTTCGGCCCCCTTCCGCGATGTCGTTCCCGACTCACAATCGGACGGCGGCTCGGATATGGAGGTCGAAACGACCCCCGCTGATAACGCGAACGCCGACGGCTTCACCGTCGTAAAGTCGCGCAAAAAGGGCAAAAAACGCCCCGCAACTGATGGCGACCCCGAATGCGAGGCCGCCCCATCTAACCGTCCCACCGCAACGCCCGCCAAAAAGGCAGCCGCGGCTGCCCAATTGGTACCCGAATTCGCCTCCGAGCGAAAAATTAAGCCACCGCCGCCAATAATTATTCAAGAAAAGGCAAAGTGGCATCAAGTATGCTCGTGGTTTGAACGCCACAACATCCGCGACCTCCGGTCAAAAAATACACACATGGGTATCCGCGTATACCTGGACACAACAGACGATTTCCGCCGCGTAACCAAGTATTTACGCGAAAATAAGGTAGGTTTTCACACCTACTCGTTGCCCGAAGAGCGTAAACTTCGGGTAGTAATAAAGGGCGTCCCCAAAGAGTCGGATGTCGATAAGGCTAAAGTCGACATCCGCACTCAGGGATACCCCGTACATGCAGTACGACGTCTTAGGCACCCTAGAAACCCGTGTCCCTATGGACATGGTCATGGTTGAACTTGACTCTACCCCGGAAGGTAAGGCCATCTTCAACCTAAAGAGGGTCTGTGGGCTCAGTGACTTAGTCATCGAGCCCCCGCGCAAATCAGGTGTTGTGGCACAGTGCCACAACTGTCAACATTTTGGCCACACGGCCAATAATTGCTTCGCTCACCCTAGGTGCGTCAAATGCACCGGCGACCACGGCACAACCGAGTGCACGAGGCCAAAAGATTGCGCAGAGAAAATCTCCCGCGAAATCTACGTTGCCCAAACCCGCGCCCGTTAAATACGTTCCCGCGCCCGTACCCGTCACTAACGCCTGGGCGAAACCCCAGGTGGCCGCGCAGGTAACCACGCCGGTAATCCCGGTCGCCTCACTACCGATTGCACAACAGCTGCCCGCCTCTCAAACGGCGCCGCGGCCGCAGGTGCAGCCAACTCCGTCAGTTTTCGCGGAAAACAAGGACGACCCATTCGCGCAAATCGCAAACATCTGCAGCCTATTAGATAGGATCAATAGGCAGGAACTCGCCGTATTGTCCGCTAAAATAGCGGCCGCCACATCTGGCAACGAGCGTCTTAGGGCAATTAGCCAACATAAAACGCTTGTGGAAGCCCTTTGGGCTTTTACGAGCCAACCGTAAAAGACAATAGTCCGCGCAATAAAACCGCGCTCCGCCGCGTCGTTAATTAGACCCATAAAAACACCTTAATGGGAAGTACAACCGCAGGTAGAACAAAACCTCGGGCTCTGGTTGTTTCGTATTTCAACGCAAACGGCATAAAGGGTCAAAGGGACGAAATCACTGAATTCCTTCGCGACTACAACGTAGATATTTTTCTAGTGCAAGAGACATTCTTGAAACCTAGTGTACGCGATCCCAGAATCGCAAATTTCAATATTGTCCGCCACGACCGGTTAGCAAACCGTCTGGGAGGCACATAAATTTATTAAAAACGGTCCTTACACTGTTGCCCGCTCGACATTCCAGAGCTAAGTCAAATAGAGGCATCCGCGTGTAGGTTAGCGCTCACCGGCCACAGGCCGCTTGTACTAGTTTCAGCCTACCTCTCGGGGAATAGAACCTTACTTCAAAGCGACCTAGATACGCTTCTTAACTTAGGCCCTTCCGTGATAATTGCAGGAGATCTAAACTGCAAACACGGCTCATGGGACACCAACAGCATCCCAAATAACAACGGAAAGCATCTCTTTAGCTTATCCGATAACCTAAACTTTAGCATAGTCGCTCCCGCGACTCCCACTAGGTATCCTACGGTGGACAACTACCAACACGCGTCACCGAGTGTCCTAGACATCATGTTATTCAGGGAGGTCTCGCTCGACATCGAGTCGATAGAGACAATCCATGAACTAGACTCAGACCACAGGCCCGTCCTGTGTAAACTGGGCCAGAACGCCGGCGCGGTCCCTCCGACCAAATCCGTAGTGGACTGGCATCGTCTTGAGGTCAAACTCAAGGCCTTGGACCCCCAGGACTTAGTAGACTTACCCGAGACGATAGCTACGTTCGATGACGCAAATCGAGCGATAGCGAGTCTTCGAGAAACTATTACTTCCGGAGTCACAGACTCGGAACGGACGGTGAAACTGTCGGGCGACCGACGGTTTAACTTTTCGCCCGACCTAAGACTGCTAATTAGACAGAAAAATGCAGCCAAACGCGCCTTCGATCGATACCGATCGGAATCGAACCGAACCCTACTTCGACGCCTTCAGCTAGAAGTCAAAGATCGTGTATCGGAACACCGACACACAACGTGGGACACTCTCCTAGAGAACATCGAGCCATCGCACACCGCCTACTGGCGGTTGGCCCGCAGTCTGAAAGCAGACCCCCGCGAATCTCTACCGCCTTTAGTTAGACCTAATAGCGCTTCAGTAGCCCTAGATGACTCCGAAAAAAAAAACCGAATGCCTTGCGGACAACCTAGAGCAGCAATGTACGCCATCGCGCGAACACACCGATTCAGTCCACCTAACGGAGGTGGACCACGTAATCGAGACTAGGGCTGCGCTTCCACCGGAAGGCGAACCTTTAAATTCAGTGACCCCCGAAGAGGTCCAAGATATTATTAAAAATTTAAAACCAAAATCCGCCCCGGGCCCAGATAATATAAGTAATAAAATTCTCAAAGCTCTCCCTGGGCCGCTTATCTGTTTACTGGCGACCATTTTCAATACCCTTCTCTCCAATTGCTCCTTTCCGGACGACTGGACGGAAGCAAGCCACGGTTATCGGCATTCGCAAGCCGAATAAACCAGCTAATCAGCCCTCTAGCTATCGTCCCATCAGCCTCCTCAGTTGCTTGGGGAAGCTCTACGAGCGGCTCTTGTTAAACAGGCTCAAAGAGCACGTATTTTCCAACGGCCTTCTGCCGTCGGAACAATTCGGCTTTCGAGCTAGACACTCATGTCCCGACCAGTTATACCGCCTAACGGAGCACATCCTAAAAGGCCTAAACCACCCCAAACACAGGCACAGGGGCTCTCTTCTTCGATGTCGCAAAAGCATTCGATAAAGTCTGGCACAACGGTTTGCTTTACAAGCTGTACACACTCAAAGTGCCAGATAGGCTCGTACACACCATCCACGCCTTTATGTTGAATCGCTCTTTTCGATATCGAGTCGAGGGCACCCTCTCCACAAGCCGCCGCCTCACGGCCGGCGTACCACAAGGCTCCTGCCTCTCACCTTTGCTCTTTACGCTCTACACGAGCGACATACCCACGTCAATCTCGCGCTTTTCGCGGATGACACCGCGCTCTTTTATTCAGACCGCAACCTTAGAATACTAACCACTCGACTCCAAGCGCCGCCGACCGCCTCGGCGATTGGTTCCGCAAATGGAGAATAGAAATAAATCCCGAAAAGAGTGTGGCGATTCACTTCACACGAAGTACCTACCCGTCACATCTTTATAATGGCCCTCGCCAATGCAGAAAGTTGGGGCAAATATCCCTTTATGGCCAACCGCTCCCCTGGGAGAAAAAGGTCAAATACTTAGGAGTCACTTTCGACTCGCCTATGTCATTTACTACGCACATTAATAACGTTCGTAATAGAGCCGCGTTCGTCTCCGGCCGGCTACACAATTTAACTAATGCTAAAAGTAAAATGCCCTTAAGGCACAAATTATTATTATATAAGACCTGCGTACGACCTATTATGTCCTACGCATGCATGATCTTCGCCCACACGCACCCTACTCGCTTGTACAAGTTGCAAATAGTACAAAATAAGTTTATCCGCCGCGCAACCGGTGCGCAGTGGTATCAGCGCAACGTCGACCTGCACAGCGATTGCAGACTCCCGACGATTCGCGCACATTTTAAAGATTTGACAAAACGGTTCTTCGATAGAGTCCAGCATCATCCCAACCCTCTGGTGGTAAGCGCAGCAAACTACCAACCGGACACTAACGCGAACGTAAACAAGCGTCGCCCGCGAAACGTCCTCATCGACCCGGTCGACGAAGAGGACTTAGATACGATGGACCCACCGCCGGGGGTCCCGCCGGATAACACTACACCCACAGTTAGTGTAACAACAATCACACCAGTTCGCCCTCGCCTCCGAGCACGGCGAGACCCACACAACGCGTACACAAGGTACACCCGCGTTCCGGGGCGGTTTTCACCGCTCCCAGCCACCGATTAGCTAAATGCACAGTCGACGGCCGTCGGGGTCTCGGTCCGAACCGCGACCTCGACGGCCCTTAGATGACACACCATAATTAAACGCACGCATGAGCACATGCGCGACCCTACCCATAGCGGAGGGTCCAAACCCGTGGGTTCTGGCTAGCCCACCGGTTCTGCGTCCGATGAAGCTTTAATAGTCTCGGGACTGAAAGCAAAAACATCAGTTAATACAAGATACAAGAAGACAAGATTTTGAAAAGCCAATAATGAGAAATTTAAATTTTCAGTTCAATTTTGTTATGCGAATGTGAGTGAATTTAAAAATTTCGATTGCAAATTAAAATTTTTTTACTGAACATACTGGAATGTGAAATAATACACAATAAAATAAGTAATAATAAATGGCAGGATAGGGAAACGAGAGACTTTATAATATGCATATACATTATGCTATCAATAAAAGCCGAAAGTGAAATAATTTGAACATTAAATCTATACTGATATTTTAATTTAAGCCTAATGAAAGATTAGTGTTTATTCAAACATGTGTAAATCACGGCAGCATGCAGCATATTTTCAGTTCATATGATATATAAGACATTTAATCCGAAACTTCATCTGTACACATATTACATTAGGTAATAATGTTTATAAATAAAAAATAACAAGAACAAAATAATAAACAAAAAAAATAAAATGATTATAAAGGTAATAAAAAAAATCCGCTGACAACATGCTGCATTTCAGGAGCATTTCTCGGCGTCTTATTTAATGACTCGCTTAAAATCTCGCTACATTACATACTCGGATCATTCTCCCTGGCCAGTTAACTGTGGTAGGGGCACGCAACAGTTATCACTGCTGCACGAATGGGCGGGTCTTAACCACGATCTCACAGAAGACCGGCGCAAAGTAGAAGTGCTACACTTCTGCGCTTCGTCCGGTGAGCGAGGTGGCCGGGGCCCACTTTATTTGAAGGTGGCAACGCATATGCGACCCTACGGGTGTTGCAAATGTCTTCGGGCGGCGGTTATCACTTAACATCAGGTGAACCGCCAGCTCGTTTGTTCCATCAGTCTGTTGTCAGTTGCCATCGGGGGTCCACTCACTTGAGCATGGTCTCCGATGTGGAGAGCTTGGGTGCCGCCAGCCGGGCCGCGTGCGGGGGCAGCGTGAGCAGCCGCCTCGTCAGCTGCGCCAGCGCGGACGCCTTCTCGCGGAAGCCGGGCGACGACATCCGCCAGCCGTGGACGCGGAGCGCCTCCGAGACCGCCCACAGCAGCTTCTGCTCACAAACAATCACCATCATCATCATCGTCCCGCCCTTATCCCACCTAGTGTTGACACAACATGTGAGTCGTGTTCTGGTTTTATTAGGTGTGGCCAACTGTTTCAAACAATCCCCATTATCATCGTCCCGCCCTTATCCTAAATAGGGTTGGCACGACATGTGAATCGTGTTCTGATTTTATTAGGTGTGGCCAAGTGTTTCAAACAATTCCCATCATCATCATCCCGCCCTTATCCCACCTAGAGTTGGCACAACATAAGAATCGTGTTGTGGCTTTGATTAGGTGTGGAAAACTGTCTGATGTTAAGCCAACAGCAGCTTCTGCTCAAAAACAATCACCATCGTCATCATGCCGCTCTTATTCCACCTAGAATTGGCACAATTAGAAGTGAAAGAAGTCCTAGACATTATTCGATAAATAACGGACGGGAAGTGAGACTGCAATTTCAAGGACGCATAACGTTTAGGTCAATTTCGTTATATGAGATAGAAGAAATATATACATACCATACATATGTATATCTTTTATACTTTTTTATCTCTCTGACTATCACACTAAATCTCTCTTATTTATAAGAAACTCGGCAGCGCATGACCGCTCTTTGATACGATATTGAATGGACATGTGAGTCGTGTTTTTTCATGTGGCACTGTCTGACGTCAAGCCCACAGCAGCGTCTGCTCACAAACAATCACCATCGTCATCATCATCATCCCGTCCTTATCCTACATAGAGTGGGCACAACATGTCAATCGTGCTGTGAATGGTTTTGATTAGGTGTGGCCAACTGTCTGACTGTTTCTAAATAACTCTGTTACAGTCGAGACACCATTTGTGTCGGTATCTAAAAGCTAGGCCATTAACCAGTGTGAGGGTCACGTTCACCGAAAAATATCGCTCGATCCTGAGTTCAACGTTAAAGGGAAAACGAAATTTGAGACTGGGGAGAGAAATTTCTAATATATTATATCCCATAGTGAGAAGTCAGCTTTAAAATCAAAACGAGTTCAGGCGGAATGGAAATTTAGATCGGTCGTAGTTTGCATACATAATAACCATAAGGAGGTATTCACCTAACAAGACCCGGGGGGAAGTTTGACAGCTATTCGCAAATGGACAAGACTTTTATACAGTGCTAATAAATGTTTAGGACACATTTTTACACAACGTTCTCTAGTCCCAAGCTAAGCAACGCTTATACTATGGGAACTAAATAACTGACATAACATACTTCAACATACTTTTCTTTTGTAAATAAATACATACTACGCGTATACAAAACACCACTACACACTAGAAAAACACTATGTCCATCACACAATACTTTTCCAGTAGCCGGGATCGAACCCACACCACTGGCGCAGGAGGCGGGTAAAGTACCCACTACGCCATTTGGGTCGTCAAAGTAAAAAAGTACGTGAACTTTATATTCATCGCTATACGCACCTTCTTATGCGTCTCGTTCAATTCCGAGGAGCCCTTAGCAGGGAGGACTTCGGAGGCGCGGCGGCTGAACGCGACCGGCTGGGAGCCGATCGTATCTCCGCCGAAGGAGAGACTCTTGGCGATCTTGCTTCTCCCGTTGTCCGCACCATCGTCGAAGGGGTCGCGCTTTCGCTTCGGGAACTGGTCGCTGACGGTGCCGTCGAGACTCTTCGTATCCGCGCCCACCGGCGATCCGAAGAGGGCGCGTTTCGACCTCATCGCTTGGTGGGGCGCTGAGGTGGGGGCGGCCGGTATGGACTTGCTGCCGTCGGGGCTGACGAACAGCGCCCGCTTGAGGGTCTCCCTGGTGGGCTGCGAGCGCGTCAGGGCTTCGGGGTCCATCAGCAGCCGCCTCATCGCCTTCTTCCTGCTGGAGCCGCCGCTCTTAGTCTTGGGCGTCTTCGCGGGCGTCTTCTTTCCCGGCGTCCGCTTGCCGGGCGTGCGGCGCTGGCGCGGACTCCTCCTCTCGGCGGAGTTGATCAGCTTCCTGTGCGGGAAGAAGCTTCAAAGAACTCGCTTAGTGGGCGGTCGGTTAACACGATGATTTGGCGATGGAGTGATTGTTAAAATATGAACGCTAGTGGTGTTGTATTGGTTAGGTGTAAACGAATAAGTAAAATTGACGTTACAAGGGTGAAAGTAATTTGAATGATATTAAAATCTGTTGAAATTATATTATTAAATGTTTTACATAAGTGTTTGCCTGTGAATGTGTGTAATGTGTGAGAGTGATTTGTTTTCGATTTTGTGTGTAATGTATATGTTCTTTATCTTAATAAATAAAAATTAATGTTGGTAAGCACATAACTCAAGAATGGCTGGACGTCCACGGAAGATTTTTACGATAAATTTACTCGAACAAAGTTTACATAATATATTTTAGCAGGATTCGATTTTTGGGATTAGGATAGGATTTAATTCTATTTTGATTGAAACATGAGTTATTTCCTAATTTCCAAGTATGTAAATTTAGTGGAACATAATTACATAATTATATGTTATCCGACTGCCTTAACTTCTACATAAACTGTGTCATTTAAGTACCGGTAAAAAAGGGAAATGGAGGATCTGTTAGCACACGCGATATACAAATGTACGAAAACAATTTTGCAAGGGACCCAGAAAAGCAAAAGTCATCGATACGCACCATAGATTTGAACCCCAATATGGGATCTCTCATCAGCTACCAAGCCACTTTAGGCTTCAAATTTAGCGATTTCCAGTTTATTGTGAGGATTCGGAAATATCATAAAAATCATATCAAAAAAAGTCAGTAAGTACAGAGTGCTGTTGTACGGTCTACAATAACGTAGAAAAATGTAAACTGAGTAAGGCAGAAAGAAAATGCACGAAAGCAAATTTGATTCCACAGAAATGCGGTCATTAGGAAGTGTGCTTGCTACGTGTAACATGTCAAATATGACCCGACGAAATTGTATTGTGTCATTAGGAAATCTTTAAATTAAAACTGAATGTTGTAAGGAAATTTGAAAAAGGAATCCTTGTATTTTAGACACGTGGAAAGAATAAAAGATACAAGACACGAAAATAATATATAGTGGAAAAAAATCGAGATATCGCTTTCTTGAACGTATACCGAACAGATTAACGATAAACTGATTGAGAGCATTAAAAAAATACAGTTGAATTGAGAACATCCTCCTTTTTTGAAGTCGGTTAAAAATATACTGTGATATAGTGAATCTTGGAGTGGAAATTCGGAATATCACACATATAAGAGACGAGAGTTTTTATGTTTGTATGTGTGTACGTGCAATGTTCGGTAGTATTTTTTGGTAGTTGTATTTTTATGAGCAATAAAATAAAAGTGTAATGGTTCTATATTGAATAAAGAATTTTGTATACATTGCATTTGTTGTATGTATCGGCGTAAGAAAACTCCTTTGCTGTAACCCACAAAAACGGCAGCGATAAACCAACGATCTATAGTTTTGGACTTGTAATTTATCAATTCTTTCGGACCTGTGAGATTTGAACTTGTGTTTTACGGGTAACGCGGCAAAACGCGAAAGATGATCTCACAGCGCGAAATATCTATCATATAAAATGTATAATCTATCTGCTATATTAATGTATTTTTAGCAATGCTCAACGCCATCTAGTGTGCGTACTTTTTACAACGAATATTTGTGAACAAGAAATGTCCCCTTCGATATTATTTTTTTTTTCTCTGCATTCATTTAAACTGTGATGAAAATGAGATGATTTTTGTGGATGAATAGTCAAAAACTTTCGGTTCAGAAAGGTTTTTTTTTTTTATTATTCAACAATCTTGGGGTATATTAAAATTAATATAATATCCACTCTTAGGTGAACCCGGCCACGCTTTGTTGTGGTTTCACGGTTCTTTTCGTTTCCGTTGCAGCATCGAAATAAAAACTCTTTCCTTTTCAATAGCTACATGATGAACAAATATTGAGCCAATACTTCGGCATGTTAAATTTAGAGGACACAAATATAATATCTTATATATATTGCGTTATTAGATTTAAGCATTTTTTTTTTCACTAATCCATATTGTAATCGCCTTTCTGTATTACACCTGCCACGATTTCTCTTCACGCCCCGGGTTGACTGGTAAAGAATGCCAATAGGCATTAAGTCCGCCCTTTGAAACCCTTTTTAAGGTAGTTCAAGAAATAATAAATAAATAAAATTATAAAATAAACGTACGGAAACTAAATTTTTAGGTATTCACTATATTGTGGGTTGCAGGGAAGGGGTTTTCTCACGTCTCTGTGGGAATCGGGTGTGACACTTACTTTTTATCTATCAGGACCATTTTGGCGGTAGCTGCGTGCGCCTTCTCGCTGATGGTGGCCGCGCTGCAGAAAGCCTGGCGGCGCCTAGCCAGGTGCGACAGCCGCCGCCCTGGGGACTTCGCCTGGGCCAGTCTGCGACCAACAATCGTCATCATTAGCCGACCGTAAGAGGTCATAGTTCTACGTACGAGCACTCGAAAGAAGAAGTCACTACTATACGTATATATAAATGAAAATATACTCTATATATATCCATTTTTTATGAATTTTGCTTTTTCAATGATTTATGTCCAATTTTTTCAGACGGATTTAGTGGTAAATTGCATCAAGTCCTAACTTTCATAGATAAAAAAATACTCAGAAATAAATTATGTTAAGTCCCACATAACACATTAATGATAATAATCAATGTTTCCTAAAAACATTTAACAATAAAATGTAAAATTCATATAAATTTTTCATAATCTGCTTCTCCTGTAAAGTTCGCCAATTGTGACTTGACACACATTACCTCTGAGGTACTGATATATATACTACTATACTATACGTGCAGCGCATAAATCTTAAAAACTGAACTTCTTAATGAATTTAATATGAATTAATACACAATGTATTATAACATAAAAGAAAAATATTACGTAATAATAGGAGTCCCAAAATTTTCTCGGCCACTTCAATTCATAGCAGAAACAGTTTAACCAATTAAAAACAGCTTGCACTACAACAATTTCACAATTTTAACCAGTAATCATTAAAATGTCTATTCTTAAGGCCCATTTACACGGTGCAAGTTTCTTGCCTGTTATATACAATTAAATTGAAGCAATAAATGAGTTGCATTGTCTAAACAGCACATAACATTCTTGACTGTTGAACAAGACTTGCTTCAAATTTTGTTTCAAAACTTTCCTTGGTGTAAACAGCACACACAATAATTTCTTAAGCAATTCTTGTATTCAATTGCATTCTCTCTTCCTTGGCAAAAATTTGTGCAATGAGTGAGGGTATTTAATCATTGCTGTTCTTTTGAGGATAGAAATATTGAGAAAAGGTCGTAAAAAAAGTTGGATAAAAATATGAAATATATTTAATCGGCATAATCTAACTTGAACACTTATTATTGAGCCATTTTTTTAAAAAAACAGCCTTTTGTAAAACGTTCAACACTTGCATGAAAAATGTGTCAACGCAAATACGTGCAATACTTGAAGCAACACGCCAATAAATTGTACACGCACATACAAGCATTTGTTTAGACAAGTCAAAACTTGAAAGCAATAATCGCCTAAACATAATTGCATTGGTGTAAACAAAAGACCTTTGCAATTATTTCCTGTCAAGACTTGCATACAATAATCGCATTCAATTTTTTTTATTATATCTGCGTGTAAACTGTTGCTTACAATTCTTGATGGTCAATTATTGCGTGCAACTTATTGCATTCAATTATTGCTCTTGTATGTACAAGAAAATGGCATCGTGTAAATGGGCCTTTAATGATCAAATTAGTACCTTATAAAAACCCTAAAACATTGTTTACAGCACTTTAAGTAATGATCAAAATTATAGAAAATATCAACCCAAATGATGCTAAAGTGTGGGCTGCATTATTTTTTGATGGTTTTAATCAGAGATAGATCCATAATGATTTTGTTGACGCGAATACACATGGTTTAAGCAAATTTTAATTTCCCTGCGTTTAAAACACTATACTACAAACTTAAAATTTTATATTGAGTTTCTTTTAGTGCTAATATCTGCATTTAAGTAATGTGTCATACATAAATGTAAATTTAAAGTCTCAGAAAATCGACGAAAAGTTTTTCGTCGCCGCGGGAAGCCGATTACCGTGCCGGCGAAAATCTCAACGTGCATCCACAATTATTTTTTCAAATTTCATACAATGCTTAGCGCATCTATCATAGCGCGACTGAGCCATTTAACCACCACGCAAATGGCTACGGTCCCATCGACCAACAGACATTCATTTCCGCCATGGCGATTTAAATTCAGAACAGCCGGTTGGCGGCAGGAAATATTTTTGTTTCTTTTTGTACTATTGAAAAAAAGCCTAACCTTTGATACATATAAATTTAAGAAGGCTTGTAATGAACGGGTAAAAAGTAACGTGCGCTACATTGAAAATAAAAAATGCTTTATAAAATCAACCAACCATACAAACTTAACCAGGTAAAAACTAATTACAATATGGATATCACCCCATCAAAGTGAAGTAGATAATAATAAAAAGCCATGCTTACTTGAGCCTTAATGCTTTCCGCTTGCTTGCACTGCTAGGGGACTGCAGACCACCAGAATAAATATTAACACTGGTATCGGTTTCTCCTCCAACAAATCTCTCTCTGTACCGTTGCAATAACAATTCATATTTCTCAGTATAGTTTGACACATTGTAGCTGAAAAAAATTAATTGTAACTGTAAAAGAAGTAATATTTCACTTGTTGCATAGATATTAAATATTGACAATTATTTGTTAGGAAATCATTTTCTCTTTTTGCACATTTAATATACCTATTAATTTTAAATTCAACTTGTAGAAAACAAACAGGAACACAACATATTATACTTTCCCAAAGCCTTTTAATATAGCAGTATGATGGATAGATAGCTAATAAAAAAAACACAATCATCATTAGTGCATGGATTTGATGCTACAACTTTAAGGCCTTCAGCAATATCAAGTCATGGGACTAGTTGTTTTAAAGATATGTAATATGAACTTACTATACGTCATAATATCTGCATTTAAGAACATCTGGCCAAAGAGTCTCCCTTGCTTCAATATTAGTACACATTTTTAGTTCTATGCTCTTGTCATTAACACTAGTGTTCAATTCGCAATCAGACACATTGCTGTCTCTTGTAATACTTGTTATTGACTTTTGTATATGGGAGTTGTTAGTTGAGGTCTCTTGAAATGCATCACATGCACTGGAAATGGTTGGGATGTGGACAAACGAAACCTTCTTAGTTGGTGTAATGGAATTAGCCTCAATGTTGACTTTTTCATCTTCATTAAATGCTGGCAGAAAACAATAGTATTTCTTGAGCATTTCAGTAACATCTGTTTTTAAAGTAGTCACTGATGGTGGTGGTAGGATTCCTTGCAGCTTTTCCTGTTGGATATATTATAATTTAGATTGTGAATCGATGAAACATTTACTGAATGGTAAATGAGATATACTAAAAAATAAATAATTATTAGAACATCAATTCATACTTCCTCATGAGATTAAAATGAAAGAAAGCTTTTAATACAACTAAGATATTTAAACCTCAACTTAAAGGGCAATTTAGTCTGTAAATTAAGCCAAACTCATATTCTTTATTTATAAACAAAGAGAAACAATGTTATAGAACAGCAAGATAAAATTTTGAAATATTTATTTTTGTATTTATTTATTCATGCTTAACATACAAAGTACCTCATAAACCCCATCATAATTTTTAATAAGAAATTACCTCAATCTTCTTAACTTTCTTTTTATCATAAGCTTCAAAATCCTTAAGAAAATTCCAGAAAGGTTCTTGTGGTGGACTTGATTCACCCTCATCATCCGAAAACATATCAGGGGACCTAACTCCACTGTCAAATGAAGTTTCTATTGATGAGTAACTCTGTTCCAAGTTCCATTTGGTATTGCTACCTTCATCATTAAGAACACACTCTTTTTTATTGTTGAATTCTTCATACTGAGAATCCCCATTGCTCTCAGTTGTTTTATCAAGCCTGGCCATGTCACATGTGTTTCTATCTTCAGATGTGTCACTGGTTGTTTGGCTTCCATATTTTTCTGAAGATGAATTTACATGAGCACTGCTGCCAGCAAAACACTCTGCATGCTCCATTGGGTTTTCATTCAATGCACTCACAGTGCTTAGGGCTGTGAGAGGATCCACAATTGGCTTCAGCTTCTGGACATGTTTAATTGTGCCATTAAATGAGAGCTCACTAATCGGCAACTTGAAAATACTTTCATTATGTCTTATATCGCGGAACATAGGCACACTATCCACTGCATTATTACTATTCTCCATAGTTGAGGTTATAAACACAGAGTGTTTAAAACTCTCAGATTTCGAATCTTCCAAAGAGACACGAGTGTCCGTCTCAACAGGATCAGATTTTTCATTCAAAAGGCAATGTTCAGTGGTCGCTGATGAATTTTCGAGTGAGGCCGCTAAAGAAGCAAAGGACGAATCAGCTTTACTGTGTAAATCACCTTCAGAACTCGAGTGAGGTTTGTGTACAAAATTGTCAATATCATTTAATGGTTGCAAGGAACTACAGTCCCCTGCCAGTCCTACACAATGTTTATCTACATCAGCCTGAACAGCAGCTGACAGGTCAATGTTACCCCCACTGTTGGAGCTATCGTAATCACAAGTACTCGATGAAAGAGGCTCTGCAGGTTTAAGATTATTATTATTCTCCACAAAATGATCCACAACGTTAAAACTTCTCATGTATCGTTGGTACAAAGACAAACTATCACTCATCGAGGGACAATTAGAGTCTTCTACGGATTCCATTACCACTACATTGTTCAATCGTAAACAAGAAAAATTTTGTTTTAAGATTCTACCAATTAAACTACCATTTTTACTCTTTATATTATTTAATGAATCTAACAATTAATTTTTGTTTAAATAACAAGACTAATGATAATTCCTATGAGCAAAAGAAATAAGCTGCGCGGCGCGCAGCCACCAGCCACCAACACAAGCACAATGCGAATTGTAGTATTGCCATTGCCATCCATTTGCTAATACAATTGCTTTGCCAAGTTCTGGCTAATTTTTTTTTATTATTTTTCTATTTTTACTTTAATAACTTTTCAGTACAATTTAACGATCTTTCAACGACAACAAATTATAAATTAAAAAAATAAGAAAATCTATTTCTTTTCTATCACGTGTACAAGATGAAACCTATGATTCTCTTGAAAGCAAGGATTAATCTACTATATTCGATTTTCTATATTCGTTTAATCTAGTGAAAGAGCAAATAGAAAATAAAATAAAATTTATTGTTCTTGTTTATAATTTACATTTTTTTAATTTTCTTAAAATTAAATGAGTGTGTGGCGACTCATTTGCTACTGTGTAGCACCGCTCTTATCTTTTACACCCTTACTCTCATCGGTCTAGCATTACCCTATTATTGACAAATTTCTTTAGCAACGAGTGACAATAAAAGATGATGTCTTTCTCAACACGGCTTGTTCTTTGTACTGCATCTTAATTATTCCCTCCTGCCGGCTCCCAAAAGTGGTATGAGGCACTTTTGGATTTTCCCAACGTAGTGGTTTTAAACGTATGGTTATATTCTCTTTGGATTTTCCTAACTTATTTAATAGTTTTTAACTGACTTAAAAAAAAGGAGGTTATCAATTTGGATGTTAATATTTTTTTTCTGTATGTTCGGACATAACTTCATCATATAATAGACGGGTTTATAAAATTCTTTATTTGTTCGAAAGGGTTTCATTACGAAATAGTACCATATAAATTTTATATAGATCTGACGATGATTTTCGGAGTAACGTTTTCGTTGGCACTCTCTAATTTATAAAAAAAAAACTTTGTACCTTAAAGTACCTAAACCGTTGTACTACAATATTATAAAACACCTTTGGAGTAAGTCTTTTAATTAATTATAACGTCATCCCATATTTGGGTCCAAGTACCAACTAACGAATTCCGGTATGCAGCATCACCTGCCGCGAGATTCAATCACACAACGTAACATCACGTCTGTATACCCAAAAAGGCAGACATATAGGATCTTTTTTCAACAATCTATTTTCGCGCTAGTCAAGCCTCTCATTTGAAATGCTTAGATATATTTTTATTTATTTGCTTTAAATCGTTTTCCTTTTTCAGTCCCGGTTTCAGTTTGACGCAATTTTCTCATACGAAGAGCATCTCCGCTACGTCTATTCATATTTTATAATACCTTAGTATTAAAGTTAAACCACTAAAAATAATAAAAATAAAGTTTTTTAACAAAAAAAGAACCAACTTCAAAAAACGGTCGGTATAAGTCGTCGCCAAGCCAAGTATCACTGATCTGAGCATGAAATCATTTTCTTAACTTTGTCACATCGTTTATGTGGATTAGATACATAAAAATACGTATAACTAATTTTTCAATTTATAAGATAACCGCAGTATTAACTGTTGGTTGGCTTATTTCTACATTTAAGCAAGGTGTTATGGTCTAAACAATGATACCGACTTCAAAAATTATTAAATTTTATTACAGGTTATTTAAGCTATGTTATATACGTTAGATTTTCAAGATTTGATTAATTTAGATTTAATATTATTATAAACTTTTTATTGCTAACCGTTTTTTGAAGTAGTTTCTTTTTATTGTGGACAGACTTACATAAATACGCACAATTAAGAGATACCATACTTTAAATCCCTACCAAAGAGTACTTTTATATATCTGAAATCCCTACGTCTTCTCCTACTTCTTTTTATTAATGACTTGCTTTGAAAGCGAGCCAAATGCTTTGTGAATTATCACAATTCCGCCCCAGTCAATTTGTTCATAAAATTCTCAATTTAATAATATCTACATTAAAATTGTAACAGACAAATAAAAACTTAACCTTAATCCATTAAACTCCCTATTTATAATGTTATTGTTGTCAGTTTTGACATTTGATTTGACAATGATAATAGGAATGCTTACCATTGATATAAGAATATAAGAGGATATGCCCTTTATTGCATATACAATTTCTAGTTATACAAATATGATGCAAATATACACCTCATTTACAAAAACATATCTCTCTCACTCTAACGCGTTGTAATTTACAAATGTAAATAAAGTACAGTATATGTCAGGAATTTCAAATTTTTGTTTTAATTTTCCGTTACGTCACTAAGCCCCGCCTTGAAGCACATTTTATGGCATGCCGCCATTTTAGGTCTTTTATAAGTACTTCGACTGTCATATAATTGCTGTTCGAAAATTATTTTCATTTTAATACTGAATTGTGTGTGTTCTGGTAATTTCTGAAGTGTTTGTAAAGATAAGTGGAAAAAAATTTAACATGGCAAAGTGTTGCATCACAGGATGTTATTCGAATGCTGGAAAAAACAACGAAGGATTGACATTTTTAGGTTAGTTCTAGTTTTTGTATTTTTTGTACTTTTTCGTATGTGATACTACTTGTGTAAATAACAGAAATTGTACATATAGTGTTATCGCTTATTTTTTATTCTTCTAACTACTACTAACAAGTAAAATAGTCAATAAGTAAATATTTGCAATGTTTACATGAAAACGTAGTGTTGTTCATAGCATGGTTGTTTGAAAATTTTATCGATACTTTATTTTTTTTGGCTCCACTCGTCAAAGTAGCAAGTTCGCTACCACGAAGAAGTATTGATAGTCAGATTAAAATGAAGTCATTCAGGGACATCGAACATGTGAAGTATAATTGTGTTTTTGATAATAAGTCTTCTGTAATGTATTAAATTAATATTTAATTTTTTTAGATTTCCGAAAAATGAGGCTCTCCGCAAATTACGGATGGAAAACATAGGCACTGAAAATATAAAACCTACAAGAGTCCTCAAAATATGCTCCAAACATATTGAGGCAATTTGAGTAAATAGAACATTGGGTGTGGTCACAGAACACTAATACTCTCATGGTTTTATGATGTAATATTACAGCACTCACAAATGTATAATTTATTTTAATGTTATCTCACAGCACAGAATGGAATTATTCTTAATTAAGATTAAAAGTTTTGAGAAGTGAGAGAAATTTGACTTGATCTGGTGAATCCGTTCAAATGCTTTTTGATTTATTATTATTATGGGGATTTTTATTTGCTTTTTATTTTGGAAATTTTTTTATTTGGTTGGGTTCATAAAAATAAAAGTAAACATATATGTATATATATATATATATATATATATATATATATATATATATATATATATATATATATGTAGTATACATAAAATAAAATTATTATTATTAATGTATTTTTTTAATTATTTGCAGCATGTACCAATGGATATTGACGTTAGTCCCGTCTGTATTCACCCGACAAATATGGATATAGATACGACAAACAGACTCAATCAAAAGACGACAAATTCAGGTTAAAACTCTTATGGTGAGTATTTCCTCTAACTTCTATTTAAACAACAGCATCATCATGTTTAACTGGTATCTTACTTATTAAAGGCTGGCACAATACGTCAATTTCAGTATATATTTCGATGAAATTTAATAGCATCAACCCTATGTATGTTCGACTACAGAGCACGAATCTCCCCTGTTAATTATCTCCCTAACCTTATGTATAAAATAAAATGTTTATTGTAATTTCACGTTCATTTTTAGGCTATGGCAGTTAAGCAACCAAAAAAAGTCCAAAAGTTATGCAGACAAGTGAAGTTACAGCAAAGGAAAATAAAGATACACAGTCAGAAGTGCCGCAGACTGAAGCAGAAGGTGTTGACTTTCCAAACGATTATTGACGATTTGAAGAAACATAATTTAGTTCATTTAGTTAATTAATTTAGTCAATTACTTAATTTAGTTTGATGGAAAAAAACACTCAGAAAACATATCAAAGCGCAACATTTTAACAAAATTAATATTATTCCGCCATGAATAAACGATTTTAATCAATATACTAATTGTTTTTTTAATTTTATTTAACTATTTATGACAATAACCTATTTTATGTTATAATGCTGATAGCAAATACCGCTTTTAGCAAATACCCTTACATTATGATAATATTATTTTTTTTTTAGTTTTTATCTCCTACCCTTCAACTAGTGGTGACAAATGAGAATTAATAGAAAAGTGTTCAAAGTTAATAACATTTTTGAGTGTCATCGATATCAATATGGGTATTAATATATCGATATCAATATGGACTTAAAAACAACAACACTATTTGCTGTGGGCGGAGTCGACGCCATTTTAGGGAAACATTTGGCTTCAGCACACGTGACCTAACGTGACATCCTCATAGATTCTTTTATCA